GGTGTCGAACTTGTCCATCTTGTATCTCTGCCTCCGTCTGCACTCTTCCACAGTGATGGATTCTTTGCGTTGTTCGCACTCTGACTCTTCCAGCCAGCACTCCTCGTCCTCCTCCAACTCAGGCTCCTCACCTCTTCTCTTGCACCTTTCCAAAGCTTCTTCAGGTGTCATGTCTTCACCATCTTCGGCGAGCACAGGGTTTTACCCGCTCTCACCAGCTCTCAAGTTCGATGATGCCATGGTTGGTGGTCATCTGTCATCTCTTCACCAGGCTAGTCACTCGGCTTCTTCCTTTTCTCGGGCCCGTGAAATTTTTAGTTCTTCAGCACTCGGTGTTGGTGGCGCTCGCACTACCTTCTGCACCTTCGCAGATGGAGCTAGCCCAATAGTCTTCACCTCCGGGTTGTCCTGCAAAATGGGCTTCCTCTTCCTGCCAAGCTCTGTCACCGTGTTCCATGGAACTCCTCGCTCAGGATGTCCTTGCCCGGGACGACGCCCTTTCGCTGGTGTCTCCCTTCAACAAAAAACTCGGCATCTTGTTGCGGATGGTCTCACCAAAAAGCGTTAAGCTGCATGCCTGACTACACACTCATCGCTGGTGAGATCTCACAGCCGCACATCTCCCTGGCAGCTCCCACAGATCCCGCACTCTGAGGGAATAGCGTGGTGCCTTCTCCATGCGCAGCACCACCGTTGCTTCTCCATTCCCCTGGATCTAGGAGAAGGTCGTCTGCGCTTACTCGGCTAGCTGCAGGATCACAGGTTCTCCGTCCGTGCTCAATGTCAGCCTCAGGTGTCCCAACTGCACGATGAAGTTGGAGATGGTAACGTTGGCAAACCTCAAGAACCTGGATAGCCAAGCGCTCTGTGGCGTTCACGTCCGATGGCGCGTGACCCCTTTCCTGGAAGGGATGTGTCAGAGATTGCTATGCTCAGGCAGCCTTTGCCTTTGACAAAGGCTTGTTTTAGTTGCAGAACTTATGCCGTGCGACCAGATTTCAGGAAGGCATTGTCAGAGGCTTTGTTTCTTGTAGTCAGCCCAGCAGACAGCCAGTCGAAGCCCAGACTTGTGTGACTTGCGCAAGTCTAGACTTCTGAGTGCCAGTGGTTGTAGCAGACCATGTGCTATGAAGCCCTAGCGGCACGAAGCGGGTGTTGGTTACAGTGGGGAAACTGGGCGGGTAGGAATCGAACCACCTACAAAATTGGTCCGTTTGGAATCTGTTGAAAAGGGCACAGCTCAGGAAACTGGAGGGCGCTTCTCCAACCGAGAGGAGCTTGATTTATTTGTGCGGAGATGACACTCGGCGTGGTTCCTTTTTCAGGGACTTTTTGGTTGGTTTCGAGGGGAACCACAAGGAAGACCCAAATCCGTGTTGGGGGGTCCCCTAAAAAGAGTCTGTCACCACTCTTCTCAGAAACCAGTTCCAGCTCAGGAAGTCAAGCTGAGGTGGGTTCGATTTGAACAAGGGACCTTTGGTGGACATCAGAATTCGGTTAGAATTCGCTGGGGATTTGTGTCCACCGTCCAACCACTTTCGAGGGGGTTCCCTATTCACTCAAATGCCCTGTGGATGTCCATGGGAAAAAAGGAATCGGCACCCTTTGTTTGTTGGTTGACTAGGTCCTCCAGTAGAGGTGTTGGAATAAGGGTACCTGCTTTTTTCTGTAGTCTATTTTAGTAGGGGAACCCTCCCAAAAAAAAACAGTAAAAGGGCACCTAGCTGGGACCTAATTGAATTTAAAGGAATCGGAACCCTTTCCCAGAAACAGTCGAAAAAAGTTGAGGCAGCCCACTGGGCAACCGGGTATTAAAATTCCCTCCGCCACTTGGGTTTGACGGATTTATTCTTCCATTTGGTTATGTAGTGAGACACTCCCTTTGAAACCTTGGTCCTCCAGTGGAGAGGTTAGAATAAGGAATAAGGGTACCAACTTTTTTCAGGGGAACCCTCACCGAAAAAGGGCACCTTGGGGGAAATAGAACAACCAACTTAAGATCTCTCAGACTCCGACCTTGCGCTTCCACGAGTTGCGCCCGGATCTGCTCGTTCTTTTCGGCCATCCCGGGTTTGCGGTGAGGCCGGACGACCCAGAAAACGGTTGCACATATTCTTGGCTGGAATTAGGGCCCCAGCAAAAAATAGTTGTTTTGCCTGGTGAGTGGAAAACAAAGGGGAACCCAAAAAAGCAAAAAAGGAAAAATGGGGAGCTGGTGAAGTATTGAAGGTTGACTCTGGTATGTGTGAAAATAGTGACACTCCAACCACATGTGTAGTTCCCTTGCATGTTGTTTCCCTTGAATCAGTGTTTTACCAAAAACAAAGCACCAAAAGATACACAAGGCCGTTTAATTTGAGAAGATCTGGTGACTGGATGTCAAACAGGGATGCGGCTATGATGAGTCGAGACCTTTTGACTTGTGGGAACGAATCATCCCAAACCAAAGTCCAAACATGTCCATCTACCATCCATCCCAAATGCCTTAAGAATGTGAGCAACTCAAGGCACATTCCACCCGCGCAGGGTACAGGGAAAGTGTGGGGTGCTTTTGTTGACGAATGCTCGGCTCAGGTGCAAAGCTAAGCACAATGAAGACGGAGCTGCTCAGGCTGTCTGCCTAACCTTCACATTCACCAAGCAACACCTGCGTAGCTGGCAAACCCTCTATTTGCTTAAGTCTAAAAAAGAAAAGCAGTGGTAGATCCCCCTCAAAACCAACCGGGGAAATTACAAAATACCCTTAAGCAAATGTGTCCCTTCGGCATGCGCGGTCATGAATGGAACCAGAATGGCAGCGGCAGCTGAATCTCGGTGATATGTGACTCCACGCGGTCGCGCAGGGGGACCCATCAGGTAGACCTGAAAGGAATTCTTCATTGGGTCGGTCAAACTTGATCCCTAACAAGTTGTTGGCTTGAAGCTGTTTTTGTCTGAGGCTGTGTTTGTTGCGGTTTCCAGGGGAAATCAAAAAGTTGAACCACACAATTTTGATGGTCCCCCCCCATTTTGACACATCTCCACTGGTTGCGGGTTGGGGGGGTTCAGCAAACGCAAGGTGAAAGAACCTGAAGGAGTAAGACGCTAACATCGTGCAGGGTGACAAGCATTCATTCCACAAAGAAATATTTGGAAGAAAGCTGTAAGCTTTCCATTGCCCCAAAACCACCCAAGGAAACATAAATAAAAAAACCCTTGCCAAGCTGATGAGTATTACCACCGCCCAAGTAGTGTGGAGCAAACATTGGGGAAAGCAATCATTTGTGGGTTGATATATCTTGCTTTTGCCATACCTTGGGTTGGCTCAATGCCCCTGAAAGGAGAAGGTCTAGGTTGAAGTCTATCCCCAGCTCCGATTCGATGGGCCTGGGCCTTCAAACAACTCCGTCGAATGGAGGGGTCCACGAGCCATGCGGCGAAAGCTGGGCCAAGGCAAGTCTGAGGTTCTTCACGGAGGTCACATAGGGTGTCTTTTTTAGGAGCACCAAAATCCAAAATAGCTTCGTTCTTGCTTGAAGCAAACAAACACCTTTTAAAACCACAAACAAAAGCGAGCCTCAAACAAAAAGGCCGCCCACATGGGAGAAAAAAGAGGCCGCCGCCCGAATCCGCGCGCTGTGGGAAACACTGCAAAGAATGACCACCGCGAGCATCTGGCATAAGGGTTCAGGGATGAGTTTTGGATGACCATAATGACCCGGATCTTTTTGGATGACCCACAGACAGGTCCGGTCCAAAGCGACCATGAAAAAAGCGAACGCTGACCCAGGAAGGAAGGCTCGCTCGTACCAAAGGGCTCCCAGCCCTCGGGGGTTGCGCCCCGAGGTTGATATGAGAAGGGCCGAAGGGCCGAAGGGTCGAAGGGTCGAGGGGTTGATTCCCCAAAAACCGGCCGTTTCCCTGGGAAGCCGGTTTTTGGAAACGGCCGAAGCTCTAGGGGGTTGAGTCCGATTCCATTCTTTTCAGCCATCCTTCTTTCCAAAACCGGCCGGCCGTTTCCAACTGGGTGTCTGAGGTCTCCGAGAAAGAAGGATCGCTGGAAAGAATGGGGAAGGTACCCTTAGAAACATGGCAACGTGTTCCTTGCAGTGTCCCTTTGAGCCCAAGTGAAACCGCCTTGCACAAAATACAGACCCAGATGGGTCTGTCTTCTTTTGATGCACACCATTTTGGCCTGTTGTGTAAGGAAAACACAAGGAAAACGTGGGTTTTTGTTTGGTCCAACCTCAAGAAAGACAAGCCCATATCGGTCTGGGATTCAATGATCCCAAACAGCGGGAAAGTCTTGGGGTCCTGATTGCGCAGGTGCAGAATCGAGAGGCCAAGACGTGAGCTGAAAACTACGACTCAGTTGCCCAAAAAGCAAAAGGTGACAAAAGGTGATCACCTTTTGGGATCTGGACGAAACATGAGCCAATAACAACTCAATTCCTCGGTGTGGATAACTGACTCTCCGAACAGCAAACAAGTAACGATAAAATCCTGCTTCCTGAGGATTGCCCGAAAGAAGTCCAGGAACTTGTTGTTTACCCCTCAAATGGCAACCACATCCAAAACGTGACTAAAGTCCAAGAACTAAGGAAGTATATATGAGGTATGAAGGACATGTCACCAAATCTGGGCTGTCCTCAGATCTTCCGCTAAAAGTTTAACTTTTGGTGGGTTAAATGGAAATCTCCACTACACGCCAAAAAGCTAAAAAGCCAAGGGGATGCCACTAAGAAATGAGCGCGCAACATCTTTGAGGGTGCCCACCCAGGGTCTTTTCTTGCTCCGCGTCGCTGTCTCTCAGAGCTGAGTGGCCTCCCTGCCCTGCCTATAGGCCCCACAGCACTCTCCATCGAACACGAAACGAATTGAATGAGGATTGACCCAGTCACCTTGCCCACAAAAAAAGTGCACACGGAGAAACATGCACCCAGTGGCTTGGCCCCTGAAAAGAATGAGGCAACAACACTATGTTCAGACTCATGTGTGTTGTACATTACCCTAAAATATAAAGCTTGTTTGCAGGAGACCACTCGGTTGTGACTGCACGAACCGTGTTTCTGGCGGGGCCCAGCTGATCGATTTCGTCGTTCAGCTGATCGAATTAAAGAAGTAGACGCGGTAGGTCAGAAAGGTGATGACCTCACGTGCAGCAACCCCAAACTTGGCACACACCTGGAGTACATGGGGAAAAACAAGTGCATGTGGAGGGGGGTTCAAACATAGGTATCAAACCTGGAACCCTGGTAACTGCAAGCAAAACCCGTCGAAAGCAAGAGCTTCCAGGTTGAAGCTGGAGCATACATGGGGAAATGACTCTAAACAAGTGGATCCCAGGCAAGCCACTATGTTTAAAGGGTGATTCCCTTGGTTACCTAAAATGGATCCACTGGGAGGGTGAACGTGACCGATCTGGTTGGGCACAGTTCCCATGTCAAGCAAAGGGGATGGGGAGCTGTTCTATTTATATAACCAACAAGTCGCAAACCCCGCAATTCTGCGTGAACCTTCCGCCAACAAACGCCTATGCTGCATTCTGCATACTTAGAAAGCCTTCAAATGGGCAATTCCAAGAAATGGCCCCCTGTTGCATGTTCGGGCAACCACAAGGAATTGAATACCCCCTTCCCCATCATTGAAAGAGCACCCTGTACATATAGATATATATATATATATATGTATATTGAAATACGTATATGTATGCATATATTTGGGCTCATACCTCTCCTGAATTGCTCCAAGAAGCATGGGCTGCACAGAAGAGTCCAAGCACCTTCCACTTCAGCGATGGTGCCTCGCGAATTGAGTCACAATGACCCATGGCCACTTATCACTGGTGGGCCATTCCCTGCAGTGCCCACTACTCTCGGGGTATGTCAGCCCCTGACTAAAAAAGAATGACTATTTCCCCATGAAAAAACTGGGTGTCACCAATTTGTCAATGATCCGAGAGCAAGGTACCCATTTGGATTTGCTTATTTGGTTGGCCAGCCCATCCCTGGCTGCCCCTTTGGTTTCCCGTTTAGGGGACTTTGGCTGTCCTTCAACAGAGCCAGAAAAATGAATTGTATGCTTGGGCGCCCATGTGGGTGGCTAGGCTGCTCTTCCGGTCTAACCTTTTGCATGTTCCATGCAAAAGCCATTCTGTTTGCGAAAGGTTCCAGGGGCGCTTCCATAGGCGTCCTTTTCGGGGGCCCGGGAAGATGATTAAACCGCCAGGCAAACCAGGTCCATCTATTTTTCGACCAAAACAACCAAAAAGGGGTGTCCATGGGCGCTTCGGTCACACCAAACAGCAGCCAGGAGACCTACTAAATAGGGTTACTCGCCGCTTGCCTATTCGGCGTTATCCTCCGAGTGAGTGGACCTCCAAGTTCTCAGGTAAACAAGGGGCAACTGTTTTCTCGGAACATTTGCAGGGATCCTTACATTATACACCTGAACATTGCCTTGTAAATGGTGGCGTCCCTCTATTTTGGTGGAAAAAGCCATGTTTCAATTGGACAACATGTATCTTTTAAGGAGCCCTCATTTGGTTTCCATGTTCTCGCAACAAACAATATAAAAAAGAGCTACGAAACATAGAACGTCACATCAAAACACCAAAACATCAAGAGGCGCCCCATAGAAAAAAATACAGCCTGTTTTCTCGGTTACATTCTGCTCCCCAAGCAAAAAAGGTTTAACTTTTAGTGGTTTGATGGGAAACCCATTAGTTGGCAAAAAGTTAAAGTCCTAACATCCAAGCAAAATGCTCCAAAGTGTTGCTTTTGTTTAAGAGTGTGTGTGTGTGTGTGTGTTTAAGTTTGAATGGGGGTTACCGACACAAGATTGAAAAGGAATTGTTTGCCACAGAATAAGCTTTGTTCGGGCTTCTGATGGACATATTTGGGAATCATTTGCCAAGCTCATTTCAGACTCTTGGCCCCCGGCTGTCAAATGGCGAAATTGTGACCTTCAACCAGGCCAAATGGGTCAAAGCGAAAATGGATCGTACTAAAATGGTGTACCCCGAATGTAACGGATGCAAAAGGCGGCGAAGGCACGCGTTTTATGGTTGGGACTATCCTTTGATGACCTTCAACCCCCAGGTTTTGAGGAAGTGGCTCAAATGAGTTTCAGGGGATAAATAGAGATTCCTAGTCCACTGACCCCGACTCCTCAACCCCAGCTTCTTCTTTGCAGCTTGTCCCGTTTGGGGCTTCAGACCGTTGGAGGGCATTCCGGACTCCCATTACATCTACAGACTCTAAAATGGCCGTGGCAACCAAAAAGCCGGAATTCCCAAATGGCTTGCCCTGGTAAGTGGAAACATGGACCAAAACCTGCGGTTTGCCCCTCCTGGTTAATTTTGAGCCACACCCAAATAGGCCTGGCCCAGCCATAGCCTACCTCCACCCCACACCCTTCACCCTGCCTCTACAGCAAGGTCTGTCCAGAGGGTGCCGTAGATGAACGCAAGAGAGGTGCCGAGCCCCCCCAGCACAGCTAGCCATCGCAGGAAGCCCAGCCTCGATCGAAGATTCAGATGCCCGACAAAAGAAAGACAAACTACAAGGGCGCGTCCTCAAGACTGTCGCTGGACAAAACCCCTTTGCACCTCTCAAGAAACCATGGCATTTTTTGGGGTATTTACCTTGGGGAATCGAAAATCCTTCCAATTTTTCCTTAGGTGGTGCGAAATGGATTTCGTCCCTCAGCATGGCAACGGCTTCTTAGGGAAACCTAGCATTCTCAAGCCAAAAACAGGCGCCCTCTGGAGCTCCCTTTTGGTGAAGGCGCGGAGTGCGTCCATCCACTGGCAGCCTGTTTTCCCAAAACGGTGGACCTTCTACTCAGTTGTTCAGTGACCCTGGAAAAAAAGGATTGGAACCCTTTTTGGGGCTTGGACCATTTTTAGTGGGGCAGCCACCCAAAAAAAATGGGGGACAGATTTGGTGCCACTGAACAACTGAGTTGAGTTACTTTTTGCAGGGAAACCAAAAGGACATCCACTAGGTTCTCCAGTAGAAAGGATAGAATGGTACCCTTTTTTCTGAAGTCTATTTAGTACGGAACCCTCCCCCAAAAAAAGGGTAAAAGGGAACCTAGCTGGGGGACCTAGTTGGTTGCCGTTTTGACGTTCTCTCCCGTCTTTCCAAGTCCTTTGGTGGCCCAACCACTGGCTGTCTTCCCTGGGTGTCACATAGAGGGTCTCGCAAGAAACTGACCCATCCCCGATTGCTTCCTCTGGGAAAACATGAAAAGCCTGAGGCGCTACATAGATCACGCAGCTGAATATATCCCCTGAACAAAAATATATACTACACACGGGGTGTGGTTTAGGGGTGCCTTTTTCCCTTTTCAGCCATGGTTATCCTCGGGAACCTGCAAGGAACGCCCCCAGTTACTTTGACGACGTGCCCAAGGTCAACATGAGCTCCTTGGAAGACTCGGGCCGGCGGCCGAGCTGCGGGACAAGGCATATCACGGACATTGGGATCAGCGGGGTCGAGGAGTATCCGTAGACGCAAATCACCTGGCTTGAGTCGAGCCCCCGAGCCGCCTTTCGAAGCAGCGGGGCCCTATTCATGGCCACCATCCACTCTTTTTTCATATTGTTTTAAGGTGGGGGGGGACATTCTGCATTCATGGCCATAGTCGGGTGTGCCTTTCTTTTTTGGAGGGTGTTTGCCTTTTTGAGGTTGAAAAGGGAAACCGCTTTTGTGTTTCTTTGTGTGCGCCATTTTTTTTTCGCAGGGGGGGGGGGGGCGGTTCGTGGCCATCGTTGGGTGTGTAGTGGTTTGAAAAGGGACATTAAGAGGAAACCAAGCACCTCTACGTCCTCCACTAGAGGGTTTCTCTGTCTATTTTAGTAGGGGAACCCTCCCCAAGAAAAGATTTAGTAGGGCACCGAGCTGGGGGGAATAGACCTTCTTTCAATTACGAAAGCGAAGCTCACTTTGATATAATAACAACTCAGTTGTTCAGTGACCCTGGAAAGAAAGGATTGGAGCTGGACCATTTTAGTGGGGCAGCCACCAAAAAAAGTTGGAAAAACATTGGAGCCACTAAACAACAGGGACAAAGGTGACGTGGGACACCACGCCGGGTGCAGTCCGACGAAAGCGACGGGTGAGCGCAGCCCGAGTCTGAAGGAATGTAGAAACCTTGCTGGAAGTCAGCTTGTGAAGACACCCCGGCAGGGCTGTTCTTTTGCGAAATTTCCTGGGAAAATGAAGGGCCCCCCTCCAAGGGGGCCCTTCATTTTCCCAGGAGAGGTAACAAACAAACAAGGTCATCACGCAGTGAGGCGCCTGGTGATTTTCAAGGATCACCCTTCTTGATTTCAACGCGCCTGCCAATGATTTCAACTTTTCTCAATGAACAACTGTGGTTTTATTCCCCCAAACTAATGTTTCTTCAGAGAAAACACCCTTCATTTGACATCATCTCCATTTGGGCTCCATTTGGGTTGCGCACTGCAAACATTGAGCAAATCAGATCACACCACGTCTGGGGCCCCTTTTTTTGCAGCTGCCAAAGGCAAAGGCAGCGAGCGCCCCGCGAGAACGCGAGACATAAGAGACCCACGAAGACCACAGAACGTGCTGATCATCACACAGCGCACGAAAGTCAATTGGAGAACGGTCAGGCATCGCAGAAGCAGCAATCACAAAATCTCAATTTGGATCTGACACCGAAACAGCTGCAAAGACATCAATGTGCTGATCAAGGAAAAAAGGGTACGCACGCCAAACAAACAATAGAGCCGGTGAGCGGCTCGTACATTGCTGAACACTCCCTCTTTGACAACACGACAAAAAAAGCTGACATGAGGCTGAGATGCATGAATTTATTCTTATGCGGCGCAGTGAACGCGTGTGCTCAACACGATGAACAGAGCCGACATAAGGCTGAGATGCATGAATTTATTCTCATGCGTCGCAGTGAACGCGTGTGCATATTACCCCCCCCCCCCCCACCCCCCACCGCAGCGTGGAACTACAGAAAAAACAGCTGAAACGCCGCGAAACGGCCAGGCGCCCTGTGGCGGCACTAGCAACAAACAACCCCGCCCCAGTAATTGTAGACCCCCGGTGCAAAGCCATGCTTGCAATTGGGCTCCTAGCCACTTAGCTAGCACGCAAACCATCTACGCACAGGGCTTGCATGAGTGGTGTTTGTGCACGACCCGCCTTGCAACCGCTAAGGCCTTATCTAGCACTAATAGCGAAAAGGATCCAGTGGCCATGGGAAAAACGGGCACCCTTTTCTGTTGGCTGGCTTTAAGGTGTAAACCCTTCCAAAACAAAGGACAAAGGGCACTGACGCCTACAGTACGCAGCAGACGGAGTTTCCATCATCCCGAATCCCAAACCTCCATTTGCACAAACGTCCCCTGAAAAAAAAGTGATAGATTACCACTAAAATTAATGATAAAATAACACATACTCTGAAACGCACATGGAAAACAACCTACTTGGCGGAGTATGCTGACCTCGGGTTTCTTGGCCTCGGCTTTTAAAGGCTCCGCAAAACTGATGGTCTCGCAGATCCGGGTTTACTGGAAGCTAAGGATTGACGGGGTGGCTCCCGCGCCTTTTGTGGGTCCAATAAACCCCGACCTGTTTCAACCAAAAGGTTAAAGTCCAAGAATCCAACTAGCCATAAAGAGCAAACAAATCCTCAAACCGCCGGTTTCTCGGCTTCTTTTTCCTTTTGCCTTATAGGCTTTAAAGACCAGGGATCCTCCAAACCGTTTTTTTTTTCTTTGCTTTTATTCTTTATTCATATTTTTTTGTTTTGCGGCGGTTCGGTGTTCTCTGCGCTTCTCGAAGGCATTCGCCTGCTTGAAGTTGATGCTATCCACCGACTGCCCGGAGCAGTAGAGCCCCAGGCGCACCGCCAGAGGCACCGCCACCAGCAGACCGTAGATCAGGGTGGCGGCCTCGAAGCGGGGGAGGGGGGGGGACTGTTGGCGGTTGGTTCCTCTTCTCAGTCGCCCTTTAGGGACCCAGAAGTAAAAGGTGATCACCTGTTGGGGCCTGTCCGAAAAAAATAGACCAACATAAAGCCAAAAGGTTAAAAGGTCGGCTTTGGGCAACTGAGTCTTTCTTTGCAAACACCAGCCATTTTTTTGGGGGGTTTCCGGAGGTTTAGAAAGAAGGAGCCCTGGAAAGAATGGAAATGGAAAATGCCCCTAGAGTTCTGGCGTTTTTTCCGCAAAAATCCATTATCAGTGGAAAGGGGACTGTTGGCTCCCGTTGTTGTTTCTTGTTCTTTTCTTTTGGGCATTTGCCCCAGAGGCTCCTGGCTTCGGCTTTCATGGCGTGAGGCGTGAGGCGTGAGTTGCCATTCTTGCTGAAGGGCCAGAGGCTTCTGGCTTCGGCTTTCAATGGAAGACCCGACCCCCAAGCATTAGACACCCGGGAATTGGTGGTTGGGACCCGGTCTCAAAACCAGGTTGTTTGGGATTCGGGGGGATCGACACCGTACGCACCATATCCTAAAACAGTATCATCTCCATAGGTCCGAGCAATGTTCCCATCACCACAAAAGTTGCACACAAAATGTGATGGGTCCAATTGTTGCTTTTGGCTCAAATGTTGATTCAAATGATTCAAATGACTCAAACGACTCAAATGATACACCAGCAAACGAAACACAGCGGGGGACGGCATCGTGACGGCATCTTTGATCTGGGCGTTGGCTTAGGACCCCTATTTCCAAAGACTTTCTCTCAGCTGCCTAAGGAACCCAGAAGCAAAAGGTTAGCCTCGGCCTTTTGTAAACATGAACCAGCATTAAAAACCAAAGGTCGGATCCGGCCGATTCCCACCCCCCTTACCCCCCCTTACCCCCCTGTTCGATTCAGTTCTGCGGAACCTGTTCCGCCAACACCTCTCGCTGAGGCGGCGACAACACTCACCAGCTTGTAGTCGGACTTGAAGTCCTGCTCATCCTGGCGGTGCCATGGCTGTGGTGACCCTTTTTCAGCTAGGTCCTCCAGTAGAGAGATTAGAATAAGGGCACCCTTTTGTCTGTAGTCTGCTTTGGTGGGGCCCCCCAAAACAAGCAAAAGGGCACTACTGGGGGACCTGTTCAGTGTGCCCCTCTCGGTGGTTGCGAAGAGGAGCAAAACAAACACTAAAACCTTGGAGGTCCTCCAATAAAAACCAAAGCAGAAGTGATATTGCCCCAAAAAAGAGGGAAGAAAGGTCCAACCTGTGGTTGATTGGAATGCACCGTTAGAATCCCCCTCTTCTACAAGAAAAAGCCCAACCCGCAACCGAAGACCACGGAAGTGAGGAAGGTCAACTTTTGGGGGCAGACGTCTTTGTCTTTGTTGGACGGAGGTGGTCCTCTGCAACGTTCCTCGAACTATTGTTGTGGTTGTGGCTGTTGGTTGTTGTTTGTTCTTTGTTGTGTGTTGTTTTTGTTGGTTGTTGTTTGTTGCTCTTTCGCTTGTCTTCTTTTTTGCTTGGGGGGGCGAGGCAGACCTCTGCTCGGCATTTTTCTCTTGGGGCTGCAGACGTTTCCTACCCCGACCTCTGCAGCCGCTCCCGAGCTCCCGCTCGCCTCCATCTCGAGAAGTCGAGCAAAGTTCCCCGTGGCCTCGCCGAGTCCCACAATTCAGGTCCCAGGAGGCGCCAGGAGCAGATCAGACCCAAGAACTGGCGGTTGTCAAAAATACCAAGTACCAAGTCTTCACCTTTGCCCCTTTGGTCCCTGATACATTGGCATTGGATTATTGTTTACCTAGAGGCTCCAATGCGATTGATTTAGGGCCTTCAAACAACCTGGTTTTGAGACCCCAAACCACCAATAACAGGGGTGTCTAATGGAGGGGTCGGGTCTTCCATTGAAAGCTTCAGGAGCCTCTGGGTAACCCCCAAAACGGGTTGCCCTGGTAAATGGAAAAAACTCAAATTACTGCAGTTTTCGGGTGATTCAGTTCTGACCCATACCTAACTCACTTCCCAACTTGTTTGGAGGACTATCTGAGGTAATCTCACTATATAGTAGTCCCAGGGGCGTCTTAGACAAAAACAAATTGGCGGTGACAAGGGGTGGTGACCCCGTTTTGGTGGGTGTTCAAGGGAAACCAGAAGGGAAACCAGAAGGGAGACACACCCAATTTTTCGAGTGCAATGGGAATTTGGTGAGCAATCCACATACTGCCGGTGCTTTGGTGAGCAACAACAATGTCCTCCTCAGTGCGAAGATCCTTTCCCCTAGTTCACTCACTTGTTAATAACCAAACTTGTTGAAACCCACTAAAATGGTCCAAACAAAAAGTGCCTAAAGTCCATGAACTCAGGGAGTGAGAGAGGGGCCTTTGGGGTAAGACCGGATTGTCGTAAGTCTCCGTTTAAGGGTAGATTCTGAACACTGTGGTGCTGCATGGCAAGACCGCAGGGGCTTGTCAGGGATGCATGGGCCAATGCCGATCCTCGATCCCATTTACCTGCACAGGACGTAAGCCATGTTCTTTGATATCTATGACACTACTGTCAGCCCGATCTGTTGACTGGGCTGCCCTCAGAAGCTAAAAGTTTAACTTTTGGGGCAAATGGAAATCCCCACTAAACCAACTAAAAAGCTAAAAAGCTACGGGGATGGCTGGGAGCCGCCAAGTTGATCTGCATCATAGCTGACAGGGGAAGACCAACTTCTAAGTGGATTCGCCTTGGGGCAAGTGAGTAGTACAACTGGTAACCCAAATTAATGGTCAAACAGACCCGGGGTTCCAAGTCCCCCTATGCAATACAAACAACGGGAATACTGTGGATGGACGTAATCCTGAACCAAACAATGGTTTCCCATGGTTTCGACGTGGTGTAGGATTTTGTCCATCCACAGTATGACTGGGAGAATCCCAAGGAGCAGATCAGCCTCACCTTCTAAGCAATCCACCCTAAAGAGAAGCACCCAAACTCAGTGGTTCAGTGACCCTGGAAAAAAAAGGATTGGAACCCTTTTTGGGGCTTGGACCATTTTAGTGGGGCCAGCAAAAAAAAGGGAAAATAATTGGAGCCACTGAACAACTGAGAAGAAAAGCAGCCTCACCACTAGCACCATTCTGGATGCCCCTTTTTCAGGATTCTTTTGCGGGGCCCGCAGCGCAACCTCTTGCAGGTTGCCAGATGGCATTTTTTGGGCTGAAGAGTGATTGCTCCGTTTCCCACCACGGAAAAGATAAATGTCAGAACTTGGTCCACCGAAGTGACATCCTCTTTTGGGAGCTTCTCTAAACTGTGGAAACCTCCTTTTTGGGGAGTGACGCATGGCGTCCACTTCTTTGGAGTTTCGGACTCGTGACTCGCATCTCGATTCTCGACTCGCATCTCTCGGGGCTCCGTGCTGCCAGGAAGAGGATTGCAGTGCTGGCCACCCAGAAGGGGCCATAGAAGTCAGGCCTTTCGCTCAGATCTTGAAAAAATCCAACGAAAACGGCTGAGTTGTTTGAGGCCCTTCCGCCCTTCCAACAGCTCAGTTGTTCAGTGACCCTGGAAGAAAAGAATTGGAACCCTTTTTTGGGGATTGGACCATTTTAGTGGGGCCACCAAAAAACAAGTTGGACAAATAATTGGAGCTACTGAACAACTGAGTTCCAACAGGGGTCGTTGGTTCCATTTACTAGGGCAACCCATTTGGGCTACCCATTTTTGACCCATAGCCAGATCTTGGGATCTCCATTTGCTTAAGCCCCGGGACACACAATGAGCAAACACCTCCACTAGTGAAATCAACAAAACCAGATACTTTAAAACATAGATTCTGAAATGCAAATGGAATTGGGGATCTCCAACAGAGACTTGTTTGAGGTTCAAGCCCTTCCACCAGGGGTTCCCTATATATACTCTCTCCCCAAAAGGAAACTAAATGGGCACTTAAAGGCGGATGTTTAAAACCACCAAACTTGGCTGGAATCAGGACCCCAGCAAAAAAATATACTGTTTGCCTGGCTAGTGGAAAACAAAGGGAACCCCAAAAAAGCAAAAAAGCAAAAAGGGGAGCTAATTCTGGGGAAGCAAAGAGGGGAAATACATAGGGACCCCTGCCCAATGAAAATGCGAACCCCTGTGGACCTTCGACTGAAATCGAGCGACTTGTGGACACCCAAAGGCTCAACGGGACGAAATGTCTTGGACCGAGTTCTGGGCTTGTTCTTCCCCGTCTGTTGGTCATGAACAAAAAAAACATGTGCTTTTGGTTTACCACAAAAACTGGCTGCTAAATAGGCCCCTCAGATCATGGGCTGTTGATCGCATGTCATGGATCTTCGCAAGTGAGGATTTTCCTCAAAATCAGAAACGGAATCTACATTGGATGGAATCCCTGCACAATAAGAAACCTCAAGGTTTTCTTTAGGATTCCCATAAGTCGGGAGATCTCCAACATGGGCGGCTTCCTATTGGATTCCCTGGGAAACAACCCCAACAAGTGCATACCCTCGAAGAAACACAAAGCCGATTCCATCTACCCAAAAACCAGCTGCAGTTAAGTCAGCGCTTCTGTCTGGGAAACACATCGGCAGGTTTGTTGGATGGTCAATCTGATCAGCTTGCTGGTGGTTTGCCATGTTGTACTTGGATGTTCGGCCAAGTTAGTCTGTGGTTAGACACTTGGGACATAACGGTATAACCCACCAATAACAGGGTTAACCCCACTTGGAGGGGCTTGTAAGTGGGTTCTATCCTAGGCTACAATGAATTTACTAACTTTCTAGGGGTTGGTTCCCCATTGTTTTCGGCCATCGGTCTTTTCAAAAATCAGCAAATTCCCCAGGGTGTTTGGTGGTTTTCTAGAAAGAAGGGTCCCCGGAAAGAATGGCGAAGTTACCCCTAGAAACTTGGCCGAACACACAAGTACTGAAACATTTGAAGGTCCAAACAAATCCACAGGTCATTTGCGGGACACCTAGCTGCTGCAACTGACAACTGGTCGACCTCCTCAAGGTTGCGGAAAATCATGCTCCCCAGAACGCTCCCCCCCAAAGACTGTTTTTTGGAGGATTGGGCTTTTGGACATGAGACAATGAAGCTGTTGGAGGGTGATATCTTCCAAAGAGGAAGTTTGGTCAGCCCTCCTTACCCTCAGTTCAACAATTGAAGGGAACTATGAGAAACCATCAAATTTGAAGGGGCCCAGAGTGTTAAACCGCCAAGGTGAGAGGTTCTTGCTCAAGAGGACCCCCAGTCCAGAGTTCACTCTTGACCCATCTTTAAAGGCATAAAGACATCCCTTTCATGTCCTGATTGGCTATCTTGGCCTGGTCGATATGGGTGTCGCGATACAACACGGCAAGCTAAGCCCGAACTGCGCCGCCTTACGGCGGGGAACTCACCCGTTCTCTGGTACCAAAGTGGCCATCCGTCTGACTTGACATCTTAAGAAAAAAACAGTTTTGCAGGGCCTTTCTGCACTTGTAGGGTTGTCTCAATTGTGCGATCCTGATAGGAAGTGGGCTGCCTGGGAAGTAGGTCCCGCAAGTGTGGTCTATTTATGGGCTTCTACTCAGGGAACTCACTAACTTCCACTTGGTGAAGACCTCTGGAAAACATACAAACATATTTTCCAGTAGTGATAGATTCCCTTTAAAACCAAGAGGGGAAAATCAAACATATTCATTTCAGCCAATGGAAGCTAACTTGGCTTACCACAAGCCCTGACCAGAGTCATTGGCACGAGAGCCCGGCCGTGTCCGGAAATCGTTGGCCGCGTCCTCTTGGCCCTGGACTCGCAAGGCCCATCCGATAGCGGGAAGCCCGGCGCATAGGCAACCCAGGCGCAAACCCACTTAAATTGGTGGCATCCTTTTGGCTTGCCTTAAAAAAAAAAAAACAAAAACGCCTAAATGGTGGCATCCTTTTGGCTTGCCTTAAAAAATAAAAGAAGAAACAAGTACCCGCAAAAAAAAGACAGACCCCATTTTGTCCACAGGCGGATCACGCCTGTTAAGAGTTGTGCATGTCCACTGTGATACCATTCTCAAGTGGATCGTTGGATGCTCGGGACTCAGGTTCTGTTCTTCTCCTGGGGTGAGCTCACCATCAGAAGAAAAAACATTCACCGATGTGGGTGTGGCTCAAAATTAAACAGGAGGGGTTACGCAGGTGTTGGTCCATGTTTCCACTTACAAGGGTGCCATTTTGGTACTGGTTTCTTGAGCCACAGCCATGTGGGAAATCACATATTCTGTTATAAGGTCGGCATGCCCCAATAACCATGTGGCCATGGGTCAAAACCCAAATCGTACCCCCAGTGAACATCAACCAATCCAACCACTAAAATAGGTTTTAAAATGGGTGGTGCACCTATCCCAGAATGGTACCATTGGTTTTGAGCCATGGCCATGTATACATTCCCTTGCTTGCCCCACGTTTAGCAGCAAGATGGGGCCGACATGTGCATCTACTGTTCACGCCCGTGGTTGCCTGTCATGCCAAACTACGTGTCGTGAGCATTTTATGTGTTGTGCGATTAGGTTACATGTTCAGCGTACCCCCTACACCCAATAGCCACATTTTTGAGGGTATGATAGGTGATGATGCAAACCCTTACAAACAAAAGGCGGCAATTATCATGGAACCTTCATGGGAAAGCTCGTTTAACCTTCTATGTTCTGAGAAGCAGTCTAACCTTTTTGCGACTTCAGTGGACACCCTAAGGTTTGCAAACAAAGTCTTTTGTGACAATTCGTCCCAACCGACGCTTGAGGCAAATGCATAGACAGAACCTGTTCGTCGGGCAATAACGTCTGGTTGAAACCTCAAGCGACTGAAAATGCGACTGGCGCGCCATGCACTTCGCATGGCTGCCCCTAGGGCGCCGATTCAACGTTGGACTTGGGTCTCTCACGAAGCCCAACAAAAAAGAAAAAGAAAACTGCCGCCCCCAGGCAATCTACCGAGTCTTCCCTGGTCAAATGGAACCCAATGAAATTCCAGGGGTCCACGAATTCCATTCAGGGGGGCTCTGCTAAGTCTCCCAGACGAGAGCATGAAACCTGAAAGGGGCCGGGTCTGGAAAACCAGTTTAAGGGTTCCATATCTGCTTGTTGAAGGCTAGCTCGAACTGATCTGAAAATCCCGACCCCCAGTGAACATCACAATCCCCACTAAAATATGGTGCACCTACCCCAAAATGATACCATTGGTTTTGACCCACAGCCATTTTGAGACAGGCCCATGGTTAAAGGGAAACAACCCCCAGTTTCTGACTTTGCTAACCCCCAAAAACCGGACGTAAAATGGGCGTGTGCTTTCTTCGGGGACCCCAACGTGGTGGGGTTCCTTTCGATTCCCTGAAAAACCAGACAAAAGAGGGCCCAAAGAATGACCTCGTTTTTGTTGCTTTGTTTTTTTCCCCTGCTCGGGGACGTGTGCAGCTCGGTTTTCGCTTTGCGGGCGGCCGAGAAAGATTCGGCTGAACTGCGTGGCCTGGAATGGGACCAGCGCCAGCTTGATGCGCTTCAGCACGTCCTGGGAGCCTTGAAACTGGAACAAACCACCGGTGGGGTCAACATAGTTGATGCATATTATATATGGATGTGTCTTTTGTTGACCCTCCGCAAAAGGTTCATTTTGTTGTGGGTCCAATGGAAAATCCAGTGTTTCCCAACAAAGTGTCAGTCCAAAGATCCAACCAACTAGCCCCAAACAATCACTCACTCGACTCCACAGAAGCCGAGTCAAGCATGTTCTACGCTGTGGTTCAAACATGAGGATGTGCTTGGCCCGGCCATGTTCAGGGCTCGCGGGTTACCCAATACCCACTTTTTGTTCAGTGTATGATAGAGTATGATGGCAACTCTGGACTAAGGCAGGCATTTACGCTGGAAATCAGTTTCCCTCGAGCAAATATTGTCTCAACAAACTGGGCATATGGAGTAGGGGGGGAAGGCTCGAGCGTTTGTTTGGGATCAGCAAAGCGGCTTATGACCCATGCCAGGATCTTGCTTCCCAGTAGGATTCAGGGGGTTCTTTTTGCCACCTTTGGTGGAAAATTGTTCGACCCCTTCGTAGTGAAGGATTCCTTTTAAAGGGGGTCGCCAATTTTCTCACAAAAGGTGGCAAAAAGACCCCCCTGAGTAGGATCCCCTCAAGAAGGGTTCATTCCCTTCTGCAGGGGAGCCCAGAAAAAAAAGAAGAAAAAAAACGGAAAAAAAACAAACAGCGGATTTCCCATGGACAAAAGGGCGCCCTTCCGGTAGGGAATTCCATGGAACAATCATTGGCGCCCCTTTTTTTGTTGGTACCTAGAGTCTCCATGACGCTAGAAAATGGGGTCATTACCCAAAATTAAGGGGTTATGACCCCTTTTTCTAGGAGTCATGGAGACTCTAGGTAGCTGGACTTAAAGCGGTCCAGCCCCTGAACAACATGTTAAACAAACACCTAAATTGCGGTCCGTCGGCTAGAGACGTCCGTCGAACAAACAACAGCGCCACTGGGTGTCGTGATTATCCTATTGCAGGCGTCCAGTGGCCATGACAAACAAAAGGCACTGTTGTTGCGGGGCAAACCGTCTGTTTTAAAGGCAAACTTCAAGAAAAAAGGAAACAACCAGGAAATGCCGTTTCCCCCCCCCTTTTATCGGCCCCCCCCCCAAAAAAAAAGCTTCGGCTTTCCTTTGGTTCTTACTTCCTGAGTTGATGGGCCAACAAAAAGTTCAAACTTTATGTTTACCACTAAAGTGGTCTTCCCAAAAAGTTTAAAGTCCACCAACTCAGGAAGTGAGGGTTTCCCAAAAAAGCTTCGGCTTTCCTTTGGTTTCCCTAACCAACCCCAAGAAGGCTACCAACAAGACGAGCCACGATCGGATCCCATCGATCCCATCGCAACGGGCTCCCCGCTGACATCGAACATCTGCTGCGCGTACGACAGCATGGCACCTGGCCGAGAGAATTCGACAGCCCTCCGAATCGGCTTCGGCCCAGGCGAAATACGGGCCCCTACAGATTGGCCTGGGAGACACCAAGAAAACTGGAGGTTCAAAGTTTCATGCTCCGCTCGCCGACCGCCTGCCCAGCCCTGCACGTCTTGGCCTTCCTGGCGCAAAGCGAGCGCTGCGAAGGGAGGGCAAATGGAATCACGGGTGCTCAGTTGTTCAGTGACCCTGGAAAAAAAGGGAACCTTTTTTTGGGAAGACCATTTTAGTGGGGCAGCCACAAAAAAAAAGGGGGAAAAAGGGAGCCACTGAACAACTGAGGGTCCTTATACCTCGTATCATGGACATGCGGCAGTGGTGTGTCGATTGAAATGTCCGCCTTGCCTTGTCCTGATGCTTGAAGTTATGCGGGGTAGGTCCGGGGGGGTGGGTAGTCGAGCGCCCGTTTTGGGCTCCTTAGGGTTCCTTAAGGTTTCTTAGGAACCTCCCCTCGAAGCACCCCCGAATGGGGCTCCTCAATTTGACCACATGCGGACACGAGTTGGCGGAAGAACCGGCTCCGGGGAGGAGAGAGAGAGGGCTTTGTTCTCAACAGTCCAATGGGTGTCTTGTTTGGGGGTAATATGGGGTGGTTTGAAACCCGCCTGCAAGGGGAGCCAATGCAATCTAATCGCAATGATTGGCGACTAATAGTGAGTAGTAGAGGTCAAAGACCTTGAAGAGCCATAACCCGCCCATCCCCGCGACTTGGACACCCCGCTCCTGGGTGGTTGACCGCTCTTGTTGCTTTTTTGGGGGTTGGGGGGTGGGGGTTGGGGGGGGGATAGTTGTACCCGAAACCAAAAGGGAATGGAATGTGGGTTCAATCCAAGGAACGCAGCAAAAACTTGCCATCGACCATCCTCCACACCCCAAGTCCAAGCAAAACGAGCGAGCTGTAGCATCTATTGCGCACTTTGGAACATGTGAAAGTGACCTGTTTGGGAGGGAAGGGGGGGGTTTGCATATTTCAACACAACATCTTCCAAGGTGTTTGAGGTATTCATTCGACCGGCGCACCTCAGCGCCGGCGGCTGATGCAATCATGCCTCCGGCAGGCGGTGTTGGACGTGGATCACATCTTGGTTGTCAGGAGTCTTACCCAATAGTATGGGGTGGCTATATAAAGGGAAACCTCTAGATTAACATTGGGGGAAGAGAACTTAACTGGATCTTCGGTGTGATTCTATATGGCAAGGGGCCGACTTGATTTCTTGCTGGTTCAAAGAACTCCCCGCTTGCCGCGCATAGATGTGCATGAAAGCTAGCGGATGGTGGCACGTGAAGTCGTACAATGATCGCATATGCGGATCCATTTGGATGTCTTTGGCGTACTCCGGGTCGCGTTTCAAGGCGAGCGAAGCCTGTTGCAAGAGGTGTTCGGAGAACTTGTCCGAATGGAGGGTGGGGGCCTTCCTCTTGTAAGCACGAGACACCTCCCGCAGTCGGGGGAGGTTCCAAGCAGTGTGCGCACGTTTCAGCTCGGATTCTCCTCCATGAAGGCGATGACCCGGTTGGCATTGAGACTGCGGGGCACAGGTCAAAGGGTTAGCCGCGAAAGCTCCCGTTTGCCCGTTTGCCGGTTGATGTTGTGGTAGTACTAGTAACGCCCTGGAATTCTAAAAGCGGTATTTAATACGTTGATTTATAGACAGACGGTTTTTCTATCTGTTTATACTATTCAAAGCTTGCTTCAACAACACACCTGCCAAACTAGGTAGAGGCGTGGACCATGCCATTGCCCAATACTGAACTTTGGTTCGGCTCAATCTTTTGCACGACGGCGTGCAGTAAAATCATAGCATTCACCTTGGGCCAAACTGCTTGATGCCAAAATAGAAGATCAAACCAGCCAAATTCTAAACCTGTAAATGATTGCGAGCTAACCAAACAACCAGCAGCGAAGTTCAGAGGTTAAAAAAGCCACCCGGTTGCACAGAGTTGGGGCACTGCACAAGCAGTAAAATATTAACAGAGTACGTAAAGAACACGCAAAAAGACCAACAGGGGGAAGAACAGGTGAAGTCTACAAAAAGGGCATCCAACCCGTTTTCTAGAACAAAGGGGATACCTCACAAGAGTTCTTCACGTCAAGCGTTTTGGGCTGTAAAACTCCAAGATCAAAGACGTAGCGGCTACTTTGAAAGGCTGATCTCAGTTGTTCAGTGACCCTGGAAAAAAAGGGAACCCTTTTTTGGGCTTGGACCATTTTAGTGGGGCAGCCACCAAAACAAAAGTGGGAAAAAGAAAAAGGGAGCCACTGAACAACTGAGTGATTTATCTGAGGTCTGGAATCTAAGACTCAGTTGTTCAGTGACCCTGGAAAAAAAAGGAAAAAGGGCACTACTGGTAATTATCTGAGGTCTGGAATCTAAGATTAGTAAGCATTGTCAATTTCAACTGTCGGATTGGCAAGCTCAATTCCGCGCCTGAAAACGACCCCCAGACCCCGGAATCGTTCACTCCAGAGACCCCGCTGTGGGGGGGGGGGGGGGCAAAAAAAAAGCAGAATCAACGGGATGCAGGCCAACTGGATTTAACCCCATAGAACCCCAACCATGCGGAGGAATCTCGGAAACTCGCTTCCTTCTGTTGATGTTCCTGACTTTCTCAGTGGATCGGAGTGTTTCAGAGCAGCTTTCAGGGAGGGCTGTTGGGGATACATGGAGAAAGAGGTGAGAGAGAGAAACAGGGGGAAAGGAAATATGATCAACATAAGATGGTGATAGAATTCATAAGCGAGATGCATGATTAACAGACCCAAAGTTGTGTGATTTGGGTGAGCTCGTCGCATGGGTGTGTCTTTTGTTTAGAGCACCGAAATGGGTTGTTTTCCTTTTGGTTTCCCTTTAAACTCACTTCCTGAGTTGATTTGCCTAAACAAGTGATTCTTTGCTTTCCACCAAAGCTATCTTTCCAAGAAAGCAGTTTAAAGTCCAGGAAGCCAGGATTTGAGTAAAACCGCCAAAAAGCCGATGCCCAAAATCAGGCGACGAGCCACCTTCTTCTTCCAGAAATCGGGTTTTCTCGAACCGAAGCTGCCGCCTCCAAAGCCTCTGAGGGAGCCGCCAGCCGCAGGGCCTCGTCTGCTTTCGCCGGACCCCAAAGCGCCCCACAAAGCCGAAGCCACGGCGACGGGAACTTCCGATCCAGAAGCAGGGGCCGAAAAAAAGAACCCACCCCGCCTGGGACAATGACAACAATCACAAGGTTGCCACATGCTCAAATGGAAGTCAAGCGAAATATCGCATACAACTGCCCATGGTTTTGGTAGATATCAATCTTCCCAAAAGGGCTTGTTTGGGGCATGGCGTCCCCCCCACAACGGGAACCCAACAAATGTGGATTTCCTTATGGTTTCCTTCGCAAAACTATCCAAAGAGGCAACCCTCAAACAAAAACGAGTGACTCGTTTAGACCCAAAAAAGGACAGGCGGACAAAGGTCACCTGCAACTACACATATTCTCGAGTTCATCATTGCCCCCTGACCAACAAAGCCCCAACAAAGTATGTGGGCGTGACTTCTTTTTGGGGACCCCCACGACATGTTGGTTCTTATTTTGGTCTTCCTTTAGAAAGCACACAAAATCGGGATACTCTCCAAAAAAGACACACCATATCTTACAATGAAGACAAGTTTTCTGCTCTACTACTCGTGGCAGACTGGCATGCGGCCTCTTCATCCCTAGAAACAGCGGGGAATTTGGAGCGGGCATTGGAACACATTTATGGCGCAGGACGTCCACGGTCTACCCGTTTTGGCTCAACATTCACAAAAGCACCTTGACAAAAAGCCTGGGGATGCTCTTTCAATCCATTTTTGGACTGAACCGGACATGGAAGCTTTGGGCGCATCGAAGGGTTGCCGGCTCAAAATCGGCGAAACACACATCCAAAGTTCAGCTGCGCCTGGGAAAAGCAAGCAAACCGCCGGTTTACGACTTGAAAGTGGAAGCTACTAGGTCCTCCAGTAGAGAGGTTAGAATAAGGGTACTTGTTTTTCTGTATTTTATTTTAGTAGGGGAAGGTATGCGTCGGGACCAAGATGGGTGCGGGGGGGGGGGGGGTACTTGAATTGTACATGATTGACCCTTACAGCAATGTAGGAATCCCTTGTGTCATAGCTTGTACTGCATGTGAATGTCACAGCTTAACCCACATTCTCACAGAGAATGGCTGCGCAGCCATCAGTCTCCGCACCTTGTCATTCTGACTGCTTGTGAATATATCAGTATCATTTGATGCCAATTTGCGCTACAGGAGGAGGGGGGGTTCTGATGGGGGGGGGGGGCAAGTTGGTACCGTTCTTGTTCATTTAAAACACATCTCACGAGTTGTGCAGTCATGGTGACTCTACGGAACGGCGTTGTTTGCTGAGCGATTGAACGGCTTCTCTGCTTGCTGCTTTTCACATGTTGGGACTAAGATCGGTGGATGCGGTCCATTTTCATTCCTTCCAAAGGCAAATCTCAATTGGTTGACTCAAATCACACTGGAATTGACCACATCCACCGATCTTGGTCCCCACGCATGGCTAGGGGAACCCTCCCAACCAAAAATGAAACCGTAAAAGGGCACCTAGCTGGGGGACCTAGGCTATTTACATCGCACAGTGCCAATGTGAGCTGATTTCGGGCGGGCTCAGCTTCCTAAGCCCGGTTTGGGTTTGTGCGGGGCGGATTCTCAGTAAACCACAAGAACCAGGGGCTTGAACCACCACACCAACTAAGGGCTTCCAGCTTGGAAGCTTATACCCATGGTAAGGGGGCCACCCCCGGTTGCCCCACTTACGAAAATCTGGGTTGCTACCAACACCCTGGTTGAGTGACAGTGAGTCATAATGAAAACCCGGTACTAAAATGGTCGTAATCCCAGAACCATGCTTCTGGAATTAAGAAGCCGGATCTCCGCAGCGATTTCTGGCAAGGGGATTGTCCCTGACCAACCTTCATCATTTTTTTCAGGTGTTGAGCACGTGGCTCAACTGACTCAAAAAGGAAGTACTGGGTGGGTGGTTTATCTACCTGCGGATTTGTGGGCACTGATTGTCAGGGACAATCCCGAATTGTTTTGATTGCACGTGGCTCAGAAGCCGGAAGCCCACGTCTTGGGTACTTGGATGTTCGGCCCACCTCCTGAACATTGCAACTTGTAAATGGTGGTTTCAACCTTTATTTTGGTGGAAAAAGCCATGTTTCCATGGTGGTTTCCAACTTTTTGTGGGTCTTGAAAAATTGCCAGCAACATGTTTCAAATGGTAAGGGAAAATGGATCTGTTGTTCCCTTTATTTTGGTGTTGAAAAAGCCACATGTTTCAAATGGTTGCAAAATGTATCTTTTAAGGAGCCGGAAAAAGCCAGCCATGTTTCAAATGGATGGGCAAAATGGAGATCTTTCTTAAGGAGCCCTGTATCACATACTGACGCAACGAACACCCAGGTCCTCCAGATCTGAGGAGCTAGAAGAATGGTACCGTTTCCTTTTTTCGGGTTTGTCTATTTTAGTAGCGGAACCCTCCCAACCAACAAAAAAGGGGTTCAAAAGGGCACCAATTGCTGGCCTAGCCCAAGTAATGTTGACCCAGGTTTTTTGTTCACCCGTCCCAGTGATGAATCCCCACTAAAAGGAGACCCCCCCCCCCCTATTCATCAACCAGGGGTTTATTCATCCGCGGTTAACACAAAGCTCCTCACCTGAGTCATACAAAATGGTGCACCCAGAACCATGTAAAGAACTTCGAAGGCGGCCGCAGCTATTTATGGTTGGGATCGTCCCTTACTAACCTTAATCTACCCAGGTTTTGATTGTGGCTCACCTGACCTCTGACTCCACGAAAGCTCCAAACTCCGATCCCGGCCTTGCACCGAATCCATCGCTCCGCTCGGGACGTCTGCGCGAGCGGAGCGATGCCAGGGATGCGCCCGCCGGCGACTGAAAACGAGGTACTTAGCGGGGGAAAACCCCACGGAACACCCGGATTCTTCAAACTGCTGCCCATGAACAAGTTGATTTGAACAAGTTGGGGCACATAGTGGTAGACATAGTTGTGTCAGTTGATCATATCATAGGGACCCAACAAGTGGCGTTGGTTTCCGTTTGGCTTCCTGTTAAACCAACCTGAAAAGGGTACAAGTGCAAAAACGCACACCCATGTGGAGGAGCATCCGAACTATGGCCGCAACATCCAACCCCCTCTGCAAAAATGGCAGCTGTCTGAGGGAAAAGGAAGGAACCCCGTGGGGAATTGTGAGGTGCTTAAAGGGGCTACTTGGATGACTTGACCACTTGGGTGGTTCCAAGTAGAGGCGCTTGAAGTTGGGCCCCTTCCCCGGCGAAAGGCGAAGCACAAAAACACATTCCTTGATCTTCCACCCCGAAAATCAGGTCTGCAGATGTTCCATTTGAAACCAAGAGCAAAATCAAGAAGGGCCCTTCCTTTGCAGGTCCTTGGAAGACAAAGGATTGCCTTCAAGAGTAGCAACTGCCAGGTTAGCAGGTGAAGTGTATGTTCCTCCCCGCAAAAGGTTTCCCGGCGGCGCCCGCATTGACTAGGGCCCCCCAATAACCCAAGACGGGTCCTCAGAACCTTGAAAGAAGTGGTTCCTAAAAGGATTCTTAGAACCATTCTGGTGGGTAGTGGGGTGATGATCAGCCCTAGGAATGAACTTTTTCGAATTCCTGGCTAGATCACAGCGAGCCAATACCACACACACAGACAGACAAACATTCCCCATTGCATGAAAGCTGGAAAACAACAGCCATTGACATAAACAATTAAACCCATTCACTGAATGAATGAATGAATGAATGAATGAATGAATGAATGAATGAATGAATGAATGAATGAATGAATGAATGAATGAATGAATGAATGAATGAATGAGTGAGTGAGTGAGTGAGTGAGTGAGTGAGTGAGTGAGTGAGTGAGTGAGTGAGTGAGTGAGTGAGTGAGTGAGTGAGTGAGTGAGTGAGTGAGTGAGTCAATTAATGAGCAACATGTGTTAGTTCTTTTTTTCGTAAACAAAAGCAGAGATGCAAATCAATTAATAAATAGTTAAATACATAAACAACATAAATGTACAAAGTTACTACATTTACACGAGTCACGTACTTTCCTTCCGGCTCAACCAATTGCCCGGGCGCCAAAGCGGCTGATGACCTTGAGCAGCAAACAGCAAAACCACGACAGGAAGCTGTTCTTGCGAAGATACGTGGGGCAACCCGGTAGATCCAATGTGTGCGACAGTCAAACCACAGTACATTTTGGTCATGCCATGGCGGCCCAAGTAAAGAACCCTTCATGGCGTGTGTTGACCCTTTGTCATATGTTCTGTAGTGCCTTTGAATCAACAATAAACACATTTATCAAAGGCGTCCCAGGGGTTCTAATCCAAATCCAAACCACCAATCCAACCTGAGGTTCTGCTTCGATGCCTCTCCAAGTAGCTTAGGACATGGGAACACTGTTGACAGCAAGCTTGTTAAAGGCTGCCTTCATCCTCCATATCCGTTTTCCGGCCTGGAAAAAAACGAAAACAAACAGTTTTTACCCTGGTGATAGAAGCCCTTCAAACCCAAGGCAAAAACAAACGCGCGTATTCTTCACCAAATGCTCGCCTGTTCCAAAGGACCTGGAAAGCAAGGCCGGCTTTGGCTATGAATTTCAATAGGGAAGCCCCTCCAAAGTGGTTGGTGGACACAAGGACCCCACTGAAGTCTCATGTCCACCAAAGGGTCCCTTAGTATCATTTCATGCCCATTTTAGAGTAGATCTCAGCTCACTTCGGTGAGCCCCGAGGAGAGTGTCGCACTCTACTAGATTGGGGTGCCGTAGCGTGAGAAGGTGAATTCGTTCTGGGCTGAGACTGGAAGACACCTCCTAGATCCTCCAGTAGAGAGGTTAGAATAGGGGGTACGATTTTTCTCTGTAGTTTATTTTAGTAGGGGAACCCTCCCAATTAAAAAAGGGTGAGAAAGGGCACCTAGCTGGGGGACCTAGCCTCAGTACCACTTTTGCCCGCCCCCCGCGAGGTCTGAGGCGCCCGCTCAACGACACGGTGTCTGCCTGGCTGGATCTCTGTTCTGACTTTGGCAGAGAATGCTCGCCTGCCGCCCCGTTTGCCGAGAATGGAAACAAAACTTCCAAAAGGTCCTGATGAGTTGACTATCAGGCACAACCCGAGAATGGAAAAGCCACAAAAGTTCCAAAAGGTCCTTATGGGAGTTTCTATCAGGCACAACCTAAAGTGATCAAGTTGCCTGCTCTTTCCCTCCCTCCCCGGAGAATGAAAAAGCAAGACACAACAAAAGGCCTGGCGCCAAATCAGTTCATGTCAGCAAGCACTTTTCAAGCCTCATGAAACCAATAGAAGATCTCCACAAGGCGAGCTCCCCAAGAAAAATCAGCTCAGGTGATATCCCCAACAGCATGTGGAACCCTGGAACCCTGGTGGAACCTTACCTCCGGGCTGCCCCGGACCACCCTGGAGCCTATCTGGGCTGAGACTTTAAAGCTTTCAGCTGGGGCAAAACTTGAAGCAAAAGTGGGAACCAACCCTGGCCCCCACCAAGAACTCCAGATCGAATTCCTGAGGGACCCGAACTTCGAAGACCGTTTCGGCTGATCATGTCCATCATCCTCTAGTGGGCGGGGGGGAGGGTCCAAGCCACTCTCGGCTACGCATCCTGTTTTGATGGTTGGCAAGGCCCCCCCATTTTTGGCGCCCTCATCCCAACAGGCGAGTGACTAAGGGCTGGGGCTTCATGAGGGCTAATAGGGTTCCAGTTGGTCGCCTTTTTGAGAGGTCCATTTCCTCTGTGGCGGGGTGGGGGGTGGGTTACAACCATGGAAAGTTACGCAAGCGAAGCCATGAAGACCATGGAAACTGCATCAACCTGAGGCGCCATATGTGCACGCCAAACCCCTCAGAGTTAAGGTAGGGTCCTCGGCCCTCGAAACATTTCCTCAGTTGTTCAGTGACCCTGGAAAAAAAAGGGATCCCTTTTTTGGGAAGACCATTTTAGTGGGGCAGCCACCAATCAAAAGGGGGAAAAAGGGAGCCACTGAGCAACTCTGAGTTTCAGCCAACGTTTCGGCCGTTAACGGCCGCCTCCTCGAAGCGATCTAGTCACGGTCTTCACGGCGCCAACTGGCGCTGTGGGAAGCTCGCGGGAAATACAAATGGGCGATGCATCTGTCACTTGCTCGCAGTTGCCTCCACCCGCGCGAGTTGGGCCTTGACCTGTGCCAACTCCGCGCCAGCTCTGATCTCTTTGCCAGCTGCTTTTGGCTTGCCTTCGTTTTCGGCTGGTCGCCAGGTCTCTGTACTCTTGGCTTCCCTCCACACACCACGCCAGAGAGGGAAATTCATTTCCCGAGCAAACAAAACGCACAAATCTCACACCAAATCCAGGCGCATGTCCCTTTTCTCAGTTGTTCAGTGACCCTGGAAAAAAATGGGATTAGAACCCTTTTTTGGGGCTTGGACAATTTTAGTGGGGCCACCAAAAAAAAGTGAAAAAAGAAAAGAGACTCGGAGCCACTGAACAACTGAGTTTTGGAAATGGCTCACCTCTTTGTTTGTTGGGTTAGCAACCTACGGGTCCGGAGCCCTGCTAGTAATTCTCCGGTTTTCCAACCGGCCACTGACGCCACTGACGTCAAACATGGTCTTGAAATAGTGCGGGTTGATAGCCACGACTCTCCATGACCCTTTACAAATGGTTGGTCAATACCCAAAATTCAGGGGTTCTGATGACGTTTTCTAGGGGTCATAGGGACTCCAGGCAGTGGGGTTTGTGCTGTTTGGAGGCTGGTGCTAACCTCGGACTTTTTGCTATTTCCGGAGGACAATACTAATCTGGGGGCGGTTCCCTTTTAGGAGGGAAATGAACTATGTTAGGGGGTCGTCGGATTAGTAGGATCCTGCGGGTTACTCCGAAGTTGACATTACTCTTTCCTGGTTGCTTTCAAAGGAGAAACCAATTGACACATAATTACCCATTTACCAACTGGGGCGGCAATCCAGGCTATACACGGGTAGCTCTTTTTGTTGGAGGGCACCCTTGTTGGGGTAGCTTGAATCTTTAACGAGAATCCAAAGGGAGACCGCCCATCTGGCTGATGATTGGAAACCTCCAATTTGCCCGTTTGCTCGTAAGTGGGTAAATGGTCATGCCACTTCCGCTTGTTTGCGATCTTTACCTTGCCGCCGCACTCGCGCCAGCTATGGTGAAGGCCTCTACCAGAAAATCACATGAGTCACAATCAAAACTCGGTATTAAAATGGTCTACCCAGAACCATGCTTCAAGAATTAAGAAGCCGGAAACATCCGCAACTCTTTCTGGCTGGGACTGCCCCTTAACCTTCACCAATCCCCGAATCGGTTTTGATTGCCACGTGACTCACATGGTCCGACTCTGAAACTTTCCCCAAGGCACGCGGAACCCTTGGGAACTTTTCCAAAGCCTTTACAGTCGTGACTGTAGTGCCACGTCTTACCCCTTAAAACTCCAAGCCCTGGGGAAGTTAATCTTTTACAGACATATAGCCCATGTTACCCAAAAAGTTGAAAAGTTGTGTTTTTAAGAGGTAAGCCACAAAGAAAATGAGTTGCCGCAGGAAAACCAAAGCTAGGTCCTCTGGAGAGGTCAGAAGAAGGGTACCAACTTTTTTCGGTAGGCCATTTTAGTAGGGGAACCCTCCCAAAAAACAGGGTGTAAAAGGGCACGATCCTGGGGGACCTAGAAAAGATAACGTCAGGTCGATTCGCCCAACCTTCAAGTTCAATCGGGCTGAAATGGGTGTGGGTCAAAAATACGTAACATAAAACCTGGTGAATGGAAACCGGGACTAAAACCTGCGTTTCGTTGGTGGAACTTCGACCCATACCCATAACCGCCATTGTGTACCGTTACCCAGAGGCTCCTGGGGCTTTCAATGGAAGACCCGAGCCCTCCATTAGACACCCCGGAGGTGGCTGGTCTCAAAACCAAGTTTGAAGGCCCCAAATCAATCGAATTGGTGCCTCTGGGCACGCACATCGGGTCCCCTTGGTTGCCGCTCTTATGCGGGCGAATCGGAACCCTACAGCCAAGATTTCTCAAATTCGGCAAACTGTTTGGTATCTCCTAGGCGCCAGGGTCCAAAAAAGGTTGCCATTTGTTTGACCACCTTCCACTGAAAAGCTGCAAAATTTGCCTTTTCGGGCCTTGGAACAAAGAGCCCAGTAGTGAAATCGAGTCCCCTGAAAGCCAAAGGACAAATACTTCACATGTTCACCTTTAAGCATAGATGGCAGTGGAAAGAAGGAACACCACTAAGTCCTCCAGTAGAGAGGTTAGAGGTTAGGGTACCAACTTTTTTCTAATGTCCATCGATTTCTTAAGCAAATGGAAGAAACATGGACATGGGTCAAAATCCCGTACCCCCAGTGAACATCCCAATCCCCACTAAAAAACACTAAAATAGGTGCACCTACCCCAAAATGGGATCGCATTGGTTTTGACCCACAGCTACATGTAAAACGGAGACCTCTGCACGCGTCAGCCGCCGAGCAAGGCCCCAACTTGGCCTCAGTGGTCGCCAGCTTGCCGCCCCGCGCCTGGGAAACCCGACCGCTTAAAGCACCATTGGTCTGGGGTCTGAAGCTTGGGTTGAGCTTCACCGGGTTCGCCAAATCTACCTGAAGTCTCCGTGACCCTTCAAAAAATGGGGTAATGGCCCCATTATTTTGGGTAACGACATTTTAAGGGGTGATGGAGACTCTAGGTACAATTTTCACTATTCCAAAGCTGAATTAAGAATCGGATCTTCAGGGAAAGGACCTTGTCATGGTTTTCGCTCGGTATACCCCCGAATCGGTGAGTTCGCTACTAGGTCCTCCAGTCGAGAGGTTAGAGGTTAGGGTACCAACTTTTTCTTCGGTAGTCTACTTTAGTAGGGGAGCCTTCCCCCCAAAAAACGGGAGAGAAGGGCACCTAGCTAGGCTATAAATTCAAATACTTACACTTTTGGGTTGAGTCAGTTACCCAGGTTCCCAGAAAGGCCCCAAGCCAAGTCAAAAGGATAGTGACAAGAACCCAAAGTGGCTTTGAGACCCCCAACCTCCGGGGTGTCTAATGGAGGGGTCGGGTCTTCCATTGAAAGCCCCAGGAGCCTCTGGGCAGAAGGTTTCTTGGTATTCACATCGGGGAATCGACTCCAAAACCAGGCTTTTTGAACGGTGGGTTTCGTCCGCAGCACTTCATTCGCACGTTTGAGTGGGACAGTTGGTAACTTACTGAGTCTCCATGACCCCTAGAAAAAGGGGTCATTACCCCTTAATTTGGGGTTATGGACCCCTTTTTCTAGGGTCATGGAGACTCTAGGCATACATTTTCACACACTTGACTTGGACACTTGGTTCTAGAAGACTGCGCTCCTTTTTTGTTTACCTTTCTGCGGTTGATCCCCATGCAGTGGGCGACGCGAACTCCGAGACCGCGAGCCGCGAGATGAACCCATCGGACACCAGACCGTTTGCGGGTACAGGGGAGTCATCCTAGGTCCTCCAGATTTGAGAAGTTAGAGATTAGGGTACCCACTTTCTGTCAGGACGTCTATTTTAGTACGGGAAGCCCCGAATCGGTGAGTTCGCTACTAGGTCCTCCAGTCGAGAGGTTAGAATACAGGTACCAACTTGTTTTTGTTTCTTTCTTTCTTTTTCGGTAGTCTATTTTAGCAGGGGCACCCTCCCAACCAAAAAAGTTGGTAGAGAAGGGCACCAATTGCTGGGGGACCTGGCATCGAATCATTCCAGAGGCTCTGAACAGCGTGCAATGGACTTCCTCCACAGTATGACTTCTGGAGGGGAGCCCCGACCCCACCTAATGTTAACCCCGGATTAAGGGCAACCCCTGGTTGATTTTGATGGGGGGGGTGTCCCCGTTTAGTGGGAAATCAGACCACTTTGGGAGGGGTTTCCACCCCCCGAAATTAATGGGACAGGTTCTGCTTAGATCCTGGGTCAACATTAAAGTGGAGCTGAAGCCAATCCCAAGGTCAGCACTCAGAGAAAGGCTCCAAAAAGCATATGGCACTGAAGTGATGTGGCTCCCAAAAACTCTGTGGCAATTCGCCACCAAGGGTTCCAACATCACCCAAACCCACGGGAGAAGAAAACAAAAACGACTTGACATTTGCATAAGGGAACATATAGCGGGAACCCTCTTAGTGGCGTGCTCACCCTCCGGAAAGCTTTGGTAGGACTTTGAGGCTCCAATTTTGATAGGGAAACTCATACGTTTTCTTTTAGTAGGGTGGAAAGACTAAGTTCTCCAGTACAGAGGTTAGAATAAGGGTACCAACTTTTTTCTGTAGTCTATCTTAGTAAGGGACCCTCCCCATAAAAGGGCACTACTGGGGGACCTAGACCTCGTTTGGGTACCCTCCAAAAACACAAGGCATGTTTGGGACAAAAACAGGTAAGCCACTCAGTTGTTCAGTGACCCTGGGAAAAAAAAAAGGGAACCCTTTTTTGGGAAGACCATTTTAGTGGGGCCACCAAAAAAAGTTGGAACAATAATTGGAGCCACTGAACAACTGAGGCCAAAGAAGGTGTAGGAAACTATGCCAAGCCTTGTGTGTCAACAACAAATCCCGAGTTCCTAATGAAAGCTCACAGAAGGAACCGGTACGTACCAGATGTTACCAGATGTAAGGACATGTGCCTTGTGAGTCGATGGCCTACCTTTCAGGCGTGCACAGTTCAATCCCATCTCAGCCCAGTGGATTTCCAGACCAACTCCATGTGGTCGTTAGCGTGTAGACGACGGTTTTTTGTGCACTTGGACTTGCACCAAGCTATATCCCCGATTTGTCACGTCGGCATGTATCGACGCCACATATGTTCAGCTACCTTTTTTTCCTAGGCTGAACATTCCCTCGACTTGTCGTAGAGTCGCGGGTGTGAAGAAAGCATGGCACAGTGTCAGTCGCGTGTTTGCTAAAACCAGAAGGGGACAATCACCTTAGATCAGGAGATATCAGCAGATATGTCTGTTGAGTGACACCCTCAACACCAACATCTGGTTGCTTACCCTAAGGATGAATCAATACTTCCATCGGTTTTGGGCGTCCCAAGGAGCGACTCATTTTTGTGGGCGCTCGAAACTTTTTGCGACATCCCAATTTCTGGACCCTGAAAAACAAATGGGCGTGTGTCAAATAGGGGGGCCCGCCCAAAACTGGGGCGCTTGCCTTTTCTTTTCTAATAAAAGCCTACGGCGCAACAATTTTCCTCAAAACACACGGCTCACTTCCTGAGTAGATTGCCCAAAGAGCGACTGCACTTCCAGGAACTCAGGCAAGGAAAAGGGACCCTCGAAACGTACGCTCAAATGTGCCGCGGTCCAACAAAAATTGGCGCGGCCTCTGGAAGACATGTGGGTCAAGAAAAAAATCCACCAGGATATGGACCGCAGGTCTTGGTCCATGTTTCCACTTACCGATCGGGTTCCATTTTGGGGTTACCAACTATTTTTGACACCCACAGCCAGATGGGAACCTAATTTTGAGTCCTCTGGTTATAATGCAGAAATTCAGTTTGCATCAATGAACTATAGACTTGTAATTGGACACCTCAAACAGGGTCCCTTAAAGGATACATTTGGTAAACAAACCAGGCAAATACTCAGTCATTTGGTTTGCCTAGGAAACTGTTTGGATGCGATTCTTGTGGACCCACGCCTGTAGAATATGAAAACAGTATTGAAAGAGGACTAAGAAAGGGCTAAGAGGGGGAAGAACAGGTAACATGCACAGAAAGCGCATCCCAACCATTTTCTAGGGTTTGGGTCCCTTTGTGAAGGGTTTCAAGAAACCCTCCGTTGGCAACAAATCATCCCCTGGAACAGACATGTGTTTCCACTAGCAATAGATTCCGCGTAAAACCAACCGGGGATGCAACAAAAACTCTTGAGGAAATGGAAGAGCATAAGAAGAATCCACCCCCAAAAAAGCAAATGGCTCAGCAGCCTTTTCAAGAGCCAAGCCGAGCAGGCGCATAGACGGTGCATGTCAACGCTGGGTTTCTCTTCAACCGGAGTTGTTTTTCTGGGTCGCAAGGGGACACTTCTCTCAAATGGAAGTTTGAGGAACCCACCATGTCCAGTTAAGTTCATCGGATCCGTTCCCGTCGATCAAACGATGCATAGCCCCGCCTCATGTCCTCCAAGCGGGACCATGCCTCCACCTGGCCGTGCCGTCAAGGCTTGGCCGCAAGCAAGGCTTGGCTTGACCCCCAGAACTTACGCATGAGCCACATGGTGGCGATGTTCACTTCTGTTTTTAGGGGACAGTCCTAAAGTAAGGAATCACGCTCGGCCTTCCCTTTTTTTTTTTCACTCCAGCAAGTAGTTTGTACAAAAACAGAGAAACTAGTCCGGAAAGTTTCGGGGTTGCTTTGGCATCCAACCAATCCAAGTCGGCATCACTTTCGGAAGCAAGGCGGAATCACGTCCTTGGTGCAAAAACGTGGGTAGCATTAGAGCTAACCATCATCGGCGACTTGGAGAATGCCTTTCCGTGCAACCCCTGGGACGGGCGGGCGGGCCTAAGACGGAAGCACTACGAGCAAAAGGGAGGAGCGGCGCGGCGGATTCCTAAACTTCGAACCGTATGTCAAGGAATCACGCTCGGCCTTCCCTTTTTTTTTCACTCCAGCAAGTAGTTTGTACAAAACAGAGAAACTAGTCCGGAAAGTTTCGGGGTTGCTTTGGCATCCAACCAATCCAAGTCGGCATCACTTTCGGAAGCAAGGCGGAATCACGTCCTTGGTGCAAAAAAGTGGGTAGCATTAGAGCTAACCATCATCGGCGACTTGGAGAATGCCTTTCCACGTTCCCCTGCTCTCCGATATATCGGTAGCTCAAGTGCTTTAAGTTTATTGAACCACATGGTCTGAAAACACCTTTGCTTACGTGACATGACCCACGAGTGCTCGGTTAGAAGTGCAACTCCATCGGAGATATAAATGCGGGCAGTTCTTTCTGAAGCCCATCGCCCCTGCTGGCACACTTGAGTGTAGCTTTTAGTGTCAATATACAAGGCGGTAGCACCTCCCCTTCTCAAGGAGTAAGGCTTGAACCCCGTGAATTGGCACTTTTGGATGGCTTGGCTGAAGGACAACCTGAACTGGTATTGCGACACAGGCACAAGATAATCATGTGGCTTGGCTACGGAGGCCCATGCCTGCAACAGTTGAGCCGTGTAGATATGATGAATGTACACGTTTTCCACACCGGCATTGCGAGATGTCATTTTTGTCTCACCCAAATGAATTAGTACATGTGCCCCTGAGGGGATCACATGGCAGGCTTGTATTTTTAGAAGCTCACCAGTGCGCAGCAAGCCCCAAAAACCTGTCAAGAGGGCAAGAGGCATCCAAGGGGTGGTTAAAGTACATCCACACAAGACCTCAACTTGTTCTTTTGTGAAGGGCGGAGCCCGTGCAGGCAATTCATTCTGGGCCCAAGCCTTCAGCAGGCGCCAGGCCTGTGGTATGTGCCCCTTTACCGAGGGTTGCAAATGCTGCACACCTGATAAAGTATCAGCGGCCAAGTAGCGGCTTTCACCTTCTTCCCATAGATGCTCAAGATAGTCCGACAGTTGAACATCTAATTCAGGATTGGATTTAGCAAGCGCTAAGCGGTGGTTCCTCTGATACTGCAAGAATGAAGCAAAAGCACGATCATATCGGACTTTTGTGGCTGGCTTGATTATGAGGCTCTTCAAAGTTCCTAGTTTTTGCCGACGCTCCTTACGCACCTTTTCCTTAGGGGAATCCACTACGCAACGCTTGACCATTTGCGTTTGGACCTCCTGCGACTGGGTTCGTCTGCGGGGTTCAGGTGCGTCGATACGTATCCTAGGATCATGATGGAGCCACTTACCAAGAGCCAAGCTGACAATCGTTGCATCACTCGGCGCAACTTACGCGAACTGGACCGTCCCTTCGAGGAGGCCTGTAGCACGACTAGGCTATCAACCAAATGCACAAAACGAACAGGCGCCCGATGCAAACGGCAAACTCTCCATTTCACTGATGACAACAGTGCACGCAATTCCAACTTATTTATATGCTCTGGAAGCATACCTGTCACCCGTTTCCACTGCCAGTGACACACCGTTTTCCACTTCCACAGGCGCGGATCCAATCCCACTCTCAGGCGTTGATGCTGGGGCAAGCTGTCGTGTTCCTGGCTCAGGAGCAGGTCGGCTCCCTTTTGTGACACCAAAGTAGAGAGCTTTTTCACCAAGGATATGGAAAGGTCTGTGGCTTTGCCCATTCGCGGTCGTTCCCAGTGAGGGCGCTGCAGAAAACCCACTAGGTCTGGCGAAGCGCCGGGCCTCAATCGCTCTTCCAATTGCACAACGCTGAGGCGGGCACACAAGTTGAAAGGGCGCAAAAGAGACATCAACAGGAACGCGGTGACTCCTACAGACCAGGAGTTTCCCAGCAAACTGCATCGAGTGTCATCCAACAGCAATGGGTTAGATTTTCTTTCACCTTTTGGAATGCACTCTGCTGTGTAATCCAATGGGAAACCCATGCATGTCTCTCTCTCACGAGTGCTGAGGATTCTCCACCCAAACTTGCGATGCTTCAATCCATGAATGACACGATATTGGTATGGAGGAAATCTGTAGCGGTCCTTCTCCCACACCAGGAGCTCATCCGCTGTGCATTGGCTAATCCCCGCAGGTCTAAAACCTGGTTGGCATTTGGGAATACTGGTTGTCAAGGTGGGGAAACGATGGTCCTTGCCAAACACGGGTTCCCACCCCGGCTCCAGGTAGTGACAAACCTCTACATCTACCTGGAAGGAGATTCGACCATATTCGTGAGGCTTTGATGAATGAGGCAATTGGATGCACACATTGTCCTCACCTTCAACAGGGAAGTCAAACCACCACAACCGAGGCCGTCGGCATGGGCTCAGTCCTGCAGCTACCACATAGGGCAAAACTTTGAGTTCGGTGGTGAATGCAGCCCTGTCACCCTCTGACATGCTGAAAACATTCTCAACCAACTTTCGCACACTGGCCCAGGGCATGTGAATTTTGACCCATTCAACAATTGGCTGGATCAGCTGGAACAGCTTTGTCCTAGGGTCGTGCAACGCCCCTTTTCGGCTAGCATTTAACTGGCTGACTCCCTGGCAAGGAGGACCAGCTGACACCAACACCACTTTAGCACGTTGGAAGCGCCTAGCCCAATTCAACACATTGGCCTCTGAGATTTGCGTGACATCATCTTCAAACAGGACTGATGGGAAAGCGCGTTCCACGACCCTCCGGGCTGGTGCGGCACATTCAACGGCAATGTAACCACACACATTGGCTTCAATGAGCTCAAGAGCTACTCGACATGCTCCAATCCCATCAAACAGCGAGATGACCAACACACCGTCATCGCCTAAGAGGTCTGGTTGTTCCCCCCTTACGGTCTTAAATGCGGCCTGCTGCCCCATAGGAGTAAGACCAACAGATTGGCAGACCCCGCCTCCGTGCTCGGAAGCGTCCGAGCATGTGACAACCTCGCTGAACTCGGCTCCAAAGCAAATGTAGGCCAGCGGGGCAAGACTAAGGCTCAACCAGAGTTCTTTCTTAACCTCAGTGGGTATTGGAAACATGGCAGTCCCCGAAGGATCCTGGCGCCCGAGCTCTACCAGAAATGACCAACATTCATTAAGGTTGGCCATCAGCGGACGGCGGAACTGAAAGAGGTACACCAACCCTCCCAAGGCAATTTGCAACTGCTTTAGGCTGGCGACAGTTTGACACAGCAAGAAGAAACTTGCCCTGAGGTACCTGACGAACTTTTCAGGCTTCGGGTAAGCTATATTCCTAACTCCATCTACCAGGGCACCTTGCACTTCAGCTGTCGATGCTCGGCTGACAGACTTCTTCTGGTTGGCTGGCACTTTCAACTTCTCGTACTCTCGTCTAAGAGCATCCGAAGAGGGGGCTCTGGATCCCTTCAAGACTTCTGCGGCTGACGAGTTAGTTTTCTCTAACAGGTCAAAATTGTCCAAGTAAACTCGGTATCCAACCTCAGACTGAGGGAAAGTCGAGTCACGCCTGAACTCACACTCGGCACCAGGTCCTACCTTGGACAGAGCTCGCTTGACTATCTCTCGGTGGATGTGTTGAGCTACTGCTACGCTATTGATGAACCCCATTGGCAGCACACGACTGGTAAGCACGTGGGGACGGCTGTCTCCCGGAGGCCTCAGCTGATCAGGAACCTCCTTACCGAAAGCCAAAAACGGGCGCCATTGAGGTCCTAGGCCAACTATGTAAAACATAGCCCTGATGTCCTCTGAACTTATCAAGAGGTCCTCATGCGGCCTTACCTCTAGCCCGCCTAGCGATGTCACCATTGGTAAGGTTCCCAAGTCACCCTCAACTGCTAGGAAATTACGGTTAATGGGGCGCAGATCCATAATTAACCGCAATACTTCGTGTCCGTCAGGGGTGGTCTCATGCTTAGGCACCCCAAAGAGTCCTCCCAGACAAGGAGATCCATGCACATGGAAAACATCCTCCACTGCAATAACCTCGCAGATTCCTCGTCTCACCAAGCCTAGAGACACTTCGTCCCAATCATCATCCTTGATCATAACGCGAGGGGTCTTCATGCTAACCCTCTCATCCAACGGCAACAAATACTTGGTGGGGTGTTCCAGAAAATCTAGTACTCCCCCAGTGGCTACCATCTCCGGCGATAGCACTCCTGCCTGCTCTGCAGTCGGGAGGCTCGAACGTAGATTGGCCCAGCCCGCCGACCTGCAATGGTGGATTTCTTCACCATATGCGTTCACGCTCTTGGAATTCCAAAAATGTTCAATGGAATCCTCGGGAATCATGCAATTGAACAAGTCCTCATTCCTAGAGAACACGGAGACGAATTCAGACAGCAGTTTCCTTTGTCCAGGTGATCCAGCCCCCATGGGCGATTCTGGTGACCCCACGGTCATGACGTTCAGGGCATGCACACCGGCATGGCACCAAGAACCCCATTTCTGCTCCTGGCAGTCTGGGAGAGGGAGCGGGAACAAGTCCCGTCCCGTGATGGGTATGCTGGAGTGAACAGCATCCTTGATTTGTTGCAGCTTCTCCCAGGCCAGGAGTCGTGATCCCAAAACGCTTAACTCTCCAACTAAGAGCCCTCGGTTATTAGTCCTAGCACGGGGTGGCAAAGGAGGGATTCGAGGCTGCGGCGGTCTAGTACAATCATAAATTGGGCATGCGCTGGTACACTTTACGGCAGGCTCTAGGAGGGGGCAACTACCTGAGTTTGAGCCGCTGGCTTGCCCCCCTCCCAACGCTTCCCCTTGTCCTTTCCCTCGCCCTTCTTTCCTTTTCCTTTGCCATCCCCCTTCCGGTCCCCTTTGGGGGGTTCCCAACGACTCATCCAACGATTCCCCCCCGCGCTTCCTCGCAGCTGGGTCTCCAGGCGCTCTGATGTCCGTTGTTCCTGGGCGGCATTGTGTCCCTCCCCTGCCGACAGCAACCGAGCGGTGTCGGGGAGAAGCACTTCGACCTTCATGGCCGTCTCGGGGGATCCCCCCTGAGCCATGAGTTCTAGGCTCTTCATCCGTTGCATGCAGATGTCCATTGCCCCTAACACATTCCCCTCTACCAAGCTGTCTAGGCAGGTTGCCAGCGTTTGGAACTCTCTCCTCATGGGTTTGCTCGGCATTGCCCCGCTCTGGACAACCTGTTGTTGGCGGTAATACTTCATCATGACGGGTCGAACTTCGTCTCCCCCCGAGGAGAAACCTTCGGCTTGCCTCAGGAACTTGTTTGCCTCCGACATCCCATGTCTGGTGAGGAGGCCGGGGCACTTCTGGGATATGCGTCTCACTTGACTGGGCTCCTGGAACAATCCTCCGCTCTCGGCTGAGTCCTCTGATGAGGAGCTGTTGCTTCCCCTGCTGGAACTCCCTCCATGATCTCGTTTCACCCTGAGACGAGGCTTCTTGAACATGGGGTCTATGCTGCTGCCTCTCCAGTTCCATCTCGACCTCACTAGCATTTCTTTGATGCGTTCCTTTGTGCGTCTGTGAGGCCCTCCTGATCTCTTTCTCTTCTTCTTCTTCCTCTTCTTCTTCTTCTTCTTGACCCCACTGCTCTCCCCACTGCTCACCGAACCCCCGTCCCGGTCCTGCAAAGGATCTGGCTGGCCTGCTCCCAATCGAGGAGCGCTCGGCGGGGCCTGGCTTCGGCGGCTTGATGCAACTGACCTAGATCTCCCTCTCCAGGAGTCGGGCTGCTTCCTACCACTAGATTTCGGCACCAGGGCAACGCAGGATCTGGCTCTTTCATCAGAACGGGGTGGAAAAACTCCGGTCCCCGGGCTGGAACCTTCATCACTCCCTCTGGTATAAACAACTCTCCTGCTAGCCCGGCCCGGATTGCTCCATGCACGTACTCTTGGACGTGAAGATGAGGGCTCCCACATACCTGCAATTTAAGGTAGTTACCACTGGAATCCTCAAACCGTGCAGTGATCTCACCTACTACCTCCACAGGGTTGTTGCAATAAGTTCCCTTCAAATGCAACTGCGATCCAATCCAAATGGCACCTGAGTCAAAAGGAAGGAATGGATTCTCAATCTCAGCTTCCTTGGGGCTCTTGCCGCCCCGGCTTTTCTTAAGGATACCAGGCCTTTCAAGCTCCTTGTTAAGCTTTGGGCTCTTTTTGACGGGGAGTTTAGCAGCTGGCTTCCTTAACACGACCTTTGCAGCAGGGCGTCGCACTGGCATCCCACACTAAGCCTCTGGCGGGCTCCGGCGAGGTTCCCCTCGGAGTTCTACCTAATCCAAATCGCTCAGGACCTCAAGCGAGCGTCCTTTCCTGGCCCATGCCTCAGCCTGCGACTCCCCTTCCAAGGGAACCGGCCTCCTGATGCCGGGAAGCACTTCCTCTGCCTCCTCCAACTCCAAGTCCCGCTCGATCTCCTCCTCCCCCCTGGGGCGGCGTCTCCCAAGAGGTCCAACGCACGGAACTCCTCCTCCTCACGCTCCTCCTGGGCGGCTGTGTCCTCCTTTACCTCCTCAACCTCACTGCTCCTAGGAGACCAAGATCTCTCCCTTGCACGCTCGTAGCCCGGGCCACCCTCGGCCCACCACCGCTCCTGACGACTGCGGTGCTTAACTCCTTTGCTCCTCTTGGGCCAAGCTCCTTCTCCTTTGCCCTTTGGGCTCTTGCCCTTAACCTTGCCTTTGCCCTTGCCCTTTTCCTTTCCACCCTCCCACCTCGGAGGCCTCGGCTGGGGCCAGGACGAGACGCTCAGCCTCTGGTCTTTCGGCACTCCTGTCCTCCCTTCTAGGAGGAACAGGTGGCGGCACACGAGCACTGGAGCCGCTTTTTGGGGTTGCAGTAGAGAGGATCTCTCTCTGCACCCGGGCCTCGTCTCTCTCTCTAAGAGACGGCCGCCACTCACTGCGGGTCGGCCTGATGACCTCCCTTCGAGGAGATCCTTCCCGAAACTCCCTACGAGGAGATCGGCTAGGCTCCCGTCGGCTGCTGGCTCCCTTCTGCTCAAGGAGCACCAGCACCTGGCTTTGAGCGCCCTGGAGAATCTCCAAAAGGGCACTCAAGTCAGATGGCGCCGACAGCCGGGGGTCGAGGCAGAGACTCCTCAATGCCCCGAGCCCCCGGCAGACCCCGCAGTGCCTGGAAGCTCCCTGCGAGGAGACCCTCCACTGGTCGCAGCCCCGGCAAGCAATGCCGGGGCTGCAACTCCTGATCATCAGGTAGGAGGATTTCCCTCCTACCACAATCCCTAAGACGGAAGCACTACGAGCAAAAGGGAGGAGCGGCGCGGCGGATTCCTAAACTTCGAACCGTATGTCATGAAACACATTTGTTATGGCCTTCCTTTTTCCTGATGGTTTTCCTTCAGAATCACTTAAAAAGAGGGTGCCCGCAACAAAAGAAGATATAGTGAGTAAAGGCACCCACCTTACCCACCTCGAGGTTCAATGTTGAAAATCGTATGGAAGCAAGGACCCCCTCTTCTGACCCCATTGCCTTTTACCATCATCAAATGCCGATTTTGATCTCGGCTGCTCTCCCAAAACACCACAGGTTTAACCTGTTGTAGGTTTAGTGGAAAAGCCATTTTGTCTGCAAAAGGTATAAGAGCCGCACTGGCCAAGGTCACTCTAATGACCAGCCAAACGAACACCTAGAAACAGTCGAACCAAAGACCCTCACCAATTTAGGGCTACCTGACTATAGGTCGCCAAACCACCCTTTAAACACAACTGAAGGGATTAGACCTTAACATCTTGTGGAATTGTCCAATCCCCTGGGAGTCAGGGATGCCGTCTGGATATGCTGCCAGGTCCTCAGTATAGAGGTTAGAATAAGGGTACCCTTTTTTTGTGTAGTCTATTTTAGTAGGGGAACCCTCCCCACAAAAAAGTTAAAGGGCGCTACTTGGGGACCCAAGCTGCGTGCCTTCGCCGAAGAAACGCAACAAAAAAGAAAAGCGCCGCGCCTGTCGGGGCAGCGCGGTCTTGCAAATCCAAGTCGGAGACGCTTGGGCGGTACCTGAAGCTCTTGATAGATCCTTAGATAGTGAGACAGCTAGAGAGCTACATCTCTAAGCTGGATAGCTGGATAGTTGGCTAGCTAATTATATAGTTAGTTAGGTTTTAGTTAGGCTAGCTAGATGGTTGGTTGGGTTGGTTGGTTGGTTGGTTGGTTGGTTGGTTGGTTGGTTGGCTAGTTGGTTGTTTGCTTGCTTGCTTGGTTGGTTGGTCAGACAAATAAATTAATAGACAAATCAATATGTGTATGCATAGATGTATATATATATATATGCATGTACATATTGCTCATCCTGCACATTAACATGGGACTCGAAAAGGGGTCCCCCCCGGAAAAAAAAAGAAAAAGAAAAAGAAGTTTGCTCCCAATATTGTTGTGTTGATTTCCCTCGGGGGTAGTGGTTTGTGGTGGAAATCATGTCAGATTCTGTTCTACGATATTGTATCGGGTTCCACAGTTGGAAAGTATTGAGTAGCGCTAGTTAGGGACGAGTCCTCGCGGGGGTACTAAACACTGGCTTATGTTCAAGCAGACTACTGATAGACAGTCGCTTGCAGATTGTCATGAAACCCAGATGTATACCACCATCCTAGGTCTTCCAGTAGAGAGCTTAGAATAAGGGTACCCTTTTTTCTGTAGTCTATTTTAGTACGGGAACCCTCCCCCTAAAAAGTTGGTAAAAGGGCACTACTGGGGGACCTAGATCTTAGAAAGAAGGTCAGAGTGGACGACCGTCTGATTTTTAAAAGGGAACCACCGTGCGAGGTGCATCCCAAAGGCTGCCTCAAAAGCCTGACTCGAAAGCCTAATGGCTCATAGGACTCATAGGCCAATATGGCTGTGGGTCAAAAATATGTACCCAAAATGGAACCCTGGTAAATCAAACCTGGTAAATGGAACCTTCAGCTAGGTGGTTTAATTTTGACCCACACCCATATGGCTTTGTCTTTTCAGGCTACCCTTTGTGGTTGGTTTTGACAGGAACCCAAAGGAAATCAACCAAGGGGGGTGCCGTGAGGGACCCATCTCAGAATCTCCAACCCCCAAGTTGCAAGTTCCAACCCCCCAATTTGGCAAACCAACCTCGATCTTGGTTGCGAATTCTGCTCCCCAAGCAAAAAGTGAAGAGCTTTTCGCGGTTTAATACGGAAAACCCATTCGTTGGCTCAAAAAGTGGTTCAGTCCTAACATCCCTTGGCAAAACGCACCAAGGCGACTCGATTTCCGGCTCTTGGCGTGCACTTCCGAGGATTGGCTGTGGAAGGAAGCGCTCTCCGGGCCCAGCGACCTCAAAGCCGAGCGCCGCGCATCCGCGAATCCAAGCGCGCAGGAGAGGCGAAACGCGCCCCCCCCACAACTGGGCGCCAAAGGGCCGTGGCGAATTCAAAAAACCGGAATTCCAAAATGGCTTGCCCTGGTCAGTGGAAACATGGGTTACCCAAAACCTGCGGCTGGCCCCTCCTGTTTAAGTTTGAGCCACACCCAAATAAATCGGGGGGGGAGGGGCGTCCGGAAAGAAAAACAGATCGGGGCGTGTCAATTTCCTTGTGCGCACCCGGCAAACCTCCACCAGTCTAATTGAAGAGCCGGGTTTCCCATAGCAAATATCTATCTTATTGGGCGGAGGCTTCATCACACCCCATCATACCCTGCAAAAAGTGGGTATCGGGCGTAGGCTAGATGATAATCCGGCAATTGTACCCACCAGAGACTAATAGGAGACTACCCGAACCGATACCCACCTCCAGCCGCCAGGGTACTACTCAAAATTTGTCAGTTGCTCATAGAGCGATTTTAGTCTTACAATTGACTCGGAACGCCATGAAAGCCGCCGAACATCGCCCATAGTCAGACGGAGGCGCTTAGTCAGCCCATGTGTGGATGCAGAAAGGCCGCATCGGTCCTTTGAAGGACGCCTTGCGTGCGAACGTGGACATGTTGTTATTCTTCTTCTTGAGGAGGGGGATCTGGACATGTGCTTCTTCTTCTTCTTCTTGAGGAGGGGGGGATCTCCTAATCCAAATTTGCGCGGCTCGCAAGGTCCCTCAGCCTGACTTGCTTGGGGTAAAAAATGTCAACCCTCTCACTGAATCGGGCGGATTTTACCAAGGCAAAGTTGGGTTTTTTTGGAGGGGTTGATCCTTCCAAGGGAAAACCCAAACTTTGACTTTTTTCTAGGGCCTTTCCTCACATCAGTAGCCATAGACAGAGGTCACAAAACAAACATTGCTCTCGCCCCTTGCTCCAAATATTTTAAGCGCAGCCCGGAAGAACGAGCCTGTGGCTTCCCTTGACCTCATCAGATCAGAGCGTGTCCTTCTTCCCCTCTTCCCCAATGCAAGCAAGGTCACGATCCAATGGGTTTTGTGTTTCGTTGTAACCTGATTTCTTCGGGTGACTCCCCTAAGGACCGGAGATGGAAATGGAATCGACCGGGAATGCCTTTCCGGCAACCCTTTGAGACCTCAGTCATATTGGTTTGGATCAGTGGTTTCGAGGTTGGGGGCTGGTCTCCTTTTTACCCTACGAGAACCAGGGTTGCAAATCCAAATGCAAACCAATCCAAGCCGCCAGTTTAGGGTTGCCTGATTTTGCCAACCCTCCCCTCGAAATTCTAAGTCGCTTGCCAGACTTCGTCACTGACTGCACCGTTTTAAATGTTTCGAACAATTGCCTGTGTGGGGGGGGGGTGTTGCCTCAGCATTTTGGTTTTGCCTCAAAACAGTGGAAACCTCCAAAATGAATGGTTGTCCTTTGCTTCCTTTCACACCCCCCAAAACCCATGCGCAAAAACACAGACGACGCTCCTGTCCGATCATTTTGCCCCCTAAAAACAGAAACACGAGCCAAAAGGTCCTGTTGGGTCACACCAATCTAAAACAAAATACAACCACTATCCCCAAGCCGAGACTACCCGCCACCAGAGTTTTAAGGCATGATGGGATATACAGCTACTAAAACAGCCACTAAAGCGTGTCTACCCCAATTTTACCCCGGGACCGGGGGGGTTCGGTTTCGGAGTTGTGGAACCCATCTTAGTCCCGATAAACCTAGCAATGGGGATATGTCCGGGACCCACAACCCATCCACGGGTGCTTGGATTCTCTGGCAAGTTAGTAAGTGGCCAGCCTGGGTAATAACCCGCTTACAACCGGCCTAACATACTATGGCGGAAAACCCCAGGTGGCTAGTTGCTAACCAGAATCGAGCGAAGGATGAAACACCGCGTGGATGAGTGTCACAAGTGAAAAACCCCGTCCAAGTGGAATTGCAAGAACCCAATGAGTGAAGGATGAACACCCCAGTTGTTCAGTGAACCCTGGAAAAAAAGGGAACCCTTTTTTGGGAAGACCATTTTAGTGGGGCAGCCTCCAAAAAAAAAGTTGGATCAATAATTGGAGCCACTGAACAACTGAGTCCAAGTGCGGCTCCAGGATGAAACACCGCGACCGCGGCGGGGCTCCCAGCCATTCCGGCTTCTCCCACCTCAGCCGGGCACATACGGTTCCGCCCTCTATTGGAGTGTGTTTCTAGCCTGTAAAAGGGGGTTCCAGAAAGTGATGCAAGGAATTTGACCCCGTGCACACCGAAAGAAAACCAAGAAACCAAACCGGTCCTTGATGCCATCACATATTACTTAACTTCTTCTTCGGAGTCTTTTTTGGTCGTGGCAGACTAAGGTGCCACCTGCTCGGCCGTGACCAGTGACTTGTCAGAGCGCCATTGTGACTGAGGGCTGTGGGAAATGTTCCCAAAGACTAACCCCCTATAGAAAGGGGGAGATTCCCAAAAGTATCACAGAAGTGGGGGATGAACGCCTTGATCCCACAACCCTGTGACTGAGTGACTCTCTTTGGGGGGCTTAATGTTGGTTGCCGCAAAAAAAGTTGATACCCCAAAACGAGAGACCCACGAGGGGTGTGACGTCCATGTCCTTTTTCGCGTGGAAAAAAACAACAGATGCCCTCAGGAACCAAAATTAAAAAGATGTCCTCCAGAAAAGAAAAAAGGAAGAACCACACTAATTAAACAAGATGTCCTCAGGAACGAACAAATATTCAATAACAAGATGTCCTCCAGCAAAAGCAACAACAACTGGTGGTTTTTGTTGGGCTCCTGTGGCGTTTTTCGTCCCAGAAAATGAGAACGAACAACCACGGCCGGCGATGGATGCTCCTTAAAGCCGGCTTCGTTTCAGCCAGCTGGTTTGGGTATTGTAACTGAGTTTTGGTGCTGCCTTTCGCTTCCAGGTGAAGCGGGTCACAACCTAAGTCTCAAACCTGGGATGTGGGATGCCAAACATGCTGTATGCCTCAGGCCCCAAAGCCTCTCTCAGTTGCTCAGTGGCTCCAATTCTTTTTTCCAACTTTTTGTTGGGTGGCTCCACTAAAATGGTCCAAGCCCAAAAAAGAATTGGTTCCAATTCGTTTTTTTCCAGGGCTTCTGGGTCCTGGGAATTCACTTAACACATCTCCACCACGGGACTGTTGGAGCTCTGAGACACATGGCCTTCAGCTATGTGAGGGGATAGCCTTCAGCTACCCCTGGAAATACCAAAGTTCAATTTCAAAATCTGCTTGTCATCGCTGTCAAACGCCGCTAATGGCTTACAACATGATGTTCATCCCAGTCATGAGCTGCGAGGGCTTGATTCACGGAAGAACCTTCAGATGCAAGCCTGCTCATATGGCCAGCTATTGATACGGAACTCGTGCGCGCGCGCTTGCGCCGATCTAAAGGAACCGAATACAAAAGGGAAGGGCTGCGTCCTTTTGGTTGGTACGTTCGTTTATCTGGGCTGTCCTCAGATCCGCTAAAAGTTTCACTTTTAGTGAGTTTGACTTTTAGCGGTCAAATGGACCCCCCCCCCCCTAAACCAACTAAAAAGCTAGAAAGCTAAGGAATCGGACGGGGGAGCCACCAAGTTGTGGTTTAAAATGAGACCGCTGGAAAACCAAATATTCTGGGGGCGCCATAAAAAAACACAGCCCGACAAAGGCCTGGGATCGTAGGAATGGGCGCTTCTGAGAAAATTGCCTGGAAATCGGACATCTTCTCACTTCCGATCGAGTGGATTGGCCAAATAAGGCCCGAACTGCTTATTTACCACTAAAATGATCCAAGACCAAAAAGTGACGAAAGTCCGAAACGGAACTCAGAGAGTGAGTCTTGGTTGCTCACGGCTTTCAACGACACAAAGCCAAAGTTGATGAGAACGCGGCGGGGTTGACTCTCAGCGCCAGGGATAGTTTTGGGAACACTCATGTTGACCCAGGATTCATAAACCCGTCCCCTTAATTTCGGGGGGTCTGATTTCCCCCTAAAAGGGGACACACCGCCCAATCAAAATCCACCAGGGATTCTACTTAGATCCGGGGTCAACATGAAGGTGCGGGCCCAGGATTTTCTGAAATGGGGCCCGCCATGTCCTCGATGATGGCTATTGGCTCAGGTCCAACCTTTCGCAAGTTCGGGGGAAAATAAGGATTATGCCGAACAGCTAAACCAGGTTAAAGCTCCGACCCGATGGCTAATAGCATTTAAGCCTTACTCACTTATTGCCTATTTCTGAACTACACATCAAAAGGCTCCAGCCCTTCTTTCACTGCCGGAATGTATCTGTTCGCTACTTGCAACAAACGAGCTATCCACTGACAACCTGTGCAAGGATTTGCGATTGGGTCTACAGTGCTTCACCAGCTGGAAAGAAGGACCCCCCGAAAGGTCTGCAGGGGGTCACTGGATTTCCCTCTCAAAGGTTGCAATTGACGTGCCTGAACCCTCAAATTCCCTTAAAAATGGGTTTGACCCCCAAAATTATGGGGTGATATCCAATTTTTATGGGTAGTTTGAGGGTGCAGGTGGTTTTCATGAAGATTGGAGGATTCATTCCACAAGGGAGATGAAGGAAACCCGATAGGTACGCTGATGGAAGCGGGGATCCGCGCTGAGTGACGTTGGTGGCAGAGTTGTAATAGTACCTGCGACCCCGACCCTTGCAGAACATATCCCGACTTCAGTCCCGAAGACTTCCAACTACCCAGAGGCTCCAATTCGATTGACTTAGGGCCTTCAAGCCACCTGGTTTTGAGACCGGGTCCCGACCACCTGCGGGGTGTCTAGTGGAGGTCTTCCATTGAAAGCCGAAGCCAGGAGCCTCTGGGTACAAAATATATTATAACCCACTCAGGTGACTTGTGCACCAGACATATGGATGGACGAGATCCACCCAAGGAACCCTGGAAGGATGATTTCAAACCTATATAACAAAACTAATTAATGGTTCCCATAGTTTTAGAGTGGTGCGAACGGTTTTTGTCCACCCACAGCACTAACCACTTACCGATGTCGGGTGGTCATCAAACAGAGCCTTTCCCACCGCGCACTCCTTGCCATCATCTGTAGAGTACCTGGAACGGGAGCTCTCAGGTTCGAGGTGAAAAAAATGAATGGAATGAACTAATTGATCCCCTAACTACCCCCATAAGCAACCAATACCACCTCGTTCTGGGTATAGAGTGTGCAAAAAGAAGGAATCAGTAGTTGTACCCCAAAAAGCCAGGTTTTCCAAAAAATGCCCACGAACAAAAGCGGGTAATTGGAGCTTTCGGGGGTTTCAGGGCATGGTTCCAATCGGCCCTTCCGAACAATTCCAGCTGAGAACCAGCAAGACTAGCGGCTAAACGTGGGATTCCTCCGGACCGTATCCGGAGTGGTTCTCTGTTTAGGGACAAAAGACTGAAGGTTTCTGACGTAAAGTTGGCACATGTTCTCCCAAGGCTTCCTTTGCTCCATAAGATCTTGAGCAACCTTGACTCACTTCCGTTGGCATCCGTTGGCACGACAAACAAACTTCTTATGTATATACCGCTGCAATTGTTTTTCCGCAAAAATGGAAGTCCAGGAACTCAGGAAGTGAGTTTAAGGGGATACAAGTTACCAACAAAATTCTAAACCAGCTGCCCCAACAACTTGCCAAACGAGTTGCCCAAATAAACCCAAGTTGCATGATCCAAATCACCCCCTGTTTCTCAAAACGAGACCCCAAGGCCTTATTTGGGGGAATTAAGGGGTAGGAAACGGGGGTTTATCCTATAAGAGGGAGACCCTTGGGGAGTTTGCCGATTTCGGGTCAGTGAAGCCTAGTACGCACAAAGTCCGCTTCGCACCAGCTGGCAGTTGGTTCATCCCAGAATTTATAAGGCTTGGTCCATCCCAAGTGGTGCACTATATTCTCCATCGCATGTGTCAAAATAGGGGGCCCCCGAATATCCTTTTGGTCGCCATTTAAGCCAAGGATGTTCAGGGACACCCTCAACACAACACACACGCATACTGTGCGTGCACGAAATCCTGCACCTACGAACGATTCGATTCCCCTGTAAATACCAACAAACGCTATGATTTCCACCATCTAGGTCCTCCAGTAGAGAGGTTAGAATAAGGGTACCCTTTATTCTGTAGTCTATTGTAGTAGGGGAACCCTCCCCCGAAAAAGTTGGTAAAAGGGCACCTGGCTGGGGGACCTAGCCATGGTTTCCTCTCGTGCGGTGGGGTGGATGGATTTCGCCTCATCCGCAGCTGTGATCCGATCCGATCGAAGCAATGCGCACTTCGTCCAGTTCGGAGGCAGTGCCATCCGCCCTGTTTCGGCCGTTTCGGCCGGGTGGATGCTGGCCCAGTCAGCCTCAAGGTAGGCGCCTCCGCTTGGTGCCAAGCTAGCAATGCACTGGATGTTTCTCACAACCCAAATGTTGGTTCCAAAAGATGTATATCTCTAAACATCCAGTTCTGTTGGCTGATGAGAAGTGCAAAAGTGACACGCATTTTCAATACTAAACCTGAACCAAGAATTGGATCACCAAGGACCTGCGTCAAATCGCTTGTTCCCCAAGAAAAAGCCACTACATCTCACGAGATCAGATGGAGGGACAAAAGGTTCTGCATTTCCATGTTTCGAAGACAAAGATCTTCTGTCACTTGGTCAAAGGACCTGCAAGTAAAAGGCTAACCTTTTGGGTGACTAAAAATAGACCATGCCAGGTCGGTTTTGGAGTGAGTGTAAAATTGCCATGGTTGAAGGCTGGGTACTTGAGGAAGCCAACCGCACGTGCAACAAATAGTTCCCTCGTTACTTGAGGAAGCCAACCACAAATGCGGGGAAAAAAACTAATTACCGAAGCCAACCACACATGCAACAGAAACTACTTACCTTGGTTTGGGGTTGTTTCTTTTGCTTGTTGGAATGCTTGGCGAATGTGAAATGTCACTGCTGCTGCGAGATGCTCCAAGGCGATACAGCTGCCGGTCGTGCTACTTGGAGTCGTCCATCAACAGTGCAACTGACTGGCGCTTTGAAAGGGACCCTTTGGGGTGCCCCTTTTTGGTTGTCTTTAAAGGGAAACCAAAAGGAAAACTAGTAAACCCTGCCCTACATATGGCCGTGGGTCAAAATCCAAATCGGTTAGCCCCCAGTGAACCTCCGATTCAATCCAACCACTAAAATAGGTTCTAAACTGGGCGGTGAATCCACCTACCCCAAAATGGGATCCCAAAACGTTTTTGACAACCACAGCCCACAGCCACATCAACTTTGCCCTAACATGCAAGATGTGCCCCGTGCGTGAGGGGGACCAAACCCTGGTTGCATATTACAAGAGTATCAGGATCCTCGGGAGAAATCAAACATACAAGCAAGCAAGCAAGCAAGCAAGCAAGCAAACAAACAAACAAACAAGCAACAAAAACAAAATTGGCGGCAAAGCAATTGCACACCTGGTAATCAACGTCGCGAATCCAAAATCACTGGCTGGAAAAAGCCGGCTTGTGATTTGGCTTTTTCCTGGCTGTGTCGAAACCACGCGCGGGCTTGAATTAGTTGATGCTCATCTGATCAAACGACGGCCAAACAGCATTAGCGCTAAGTGTCATTGGCATGAGCCAACACACAAAATGCTAAAGACAAACCTTGAGAGAGCATCACGGATTCACTCAGGGTTGTCCTTTCTCCACCTTTGTTGGAGGCTTACCTCAAAACAACCCACTTTTTTTCCATGGATTCGTCCAAGAAGCTCAAGGTGGTTTTGAAAGGACAACCCCTGGGTTCATTCAATTCCATACAGGGGCAGGCTCAAATTGGTCGCCCGCCCCTGCCAATTATAGAGGCGCAGTGGCCCACCGTGATAACTGCGAAGGCATTCTGTCAGATGTCCAGTCAAAAATATGTCCATGGCTGAATATAACTTCCTGGCCCCGAAAGAACTGCCCTGAAGCAAGGGAATCCACCCCATCACTCTGCAATGACCCATTTATACGGGAATTTTGAGGATCCAAGTTGAGCACTTTGTGAATAAGCTCCGTTTCGTATTTGTTCCAAAACCAACCCACACAACAAAGGGAATCTTTGATTATCCATCCGAACATCCCCACTCAGATGGCGGCTTCGTATTCATTTGCTGGAAAAGATCAAGAAAGAACAACAACAAACCCACCATTGTGGAGGTGCCCCAAAAATCTGAGCCACCCATGTATCAGTGGTTCAGTGACCCTGGAAAAAAACGGGAACCCTTTTTTCGGGTTGGACCATTTTAGTGGGGCAGCCACCAAAAAAAGTTGGAAAACTAATGGGAGCGTTGTATATGGTTGTTGTTTCATTTCTGAGCCATAGTTTTGAGCCCAACTGGCACCTGAGCGGCCTTCGAGTTCCAACGTCAAACTGTGCTTGCATCGAGCATCGCCTTTACGGCACGTTCGGCAATGCGATCTCTGCACAAATTACTCCACACATGGGCAGGTGCTTGTTTTGGGTTACCATGTTAAGCTTGGTTTAAGGGTAAACCAAAGGAAACCCCCGTTTTCGGTGCAGACATCCATTTTAATACATACCCAGATGATGAATGGTAAGATTACCCTTGGTTGGTATTGAAGGGACGCCATCCAGAAACCGGAAAAGCCGTTGGTTTCTTGGGCCGGGGTTCTAAAGAAAGAAACACGCCAGGATCATCTCAAGGATCTCTGTTCGAGGCGCGTGCCAGGTAGCAAAAAACTGTGCTGTTTGCTTGGTTGACGTTGGGTTCGGGGAGCAAACATCTTCATTTTTTAGCAGTTAAGTGAAGATTTCCCACTAAACCACAATAAGCAAAAAATATAAAATGTGTCCCAACAACAACCATGTTTGCAGCCCCCTACCAAAAATTAACAGAACCAACAACAACAAAAAGCAACAGCAAGCTTGCCAAGAACAGTTGTGAGGTCGTTTCACCTCTACCTGGACCCGAAGTAAATACCCGTAGACAAGGGACACAAACCCAGAATGGTGAAACAATAAGCCATGTTTATGGGTAGTTTGAGGGTCCAGTTAGCTTTTACATAAGGGGCTGCCCAAACATGGGCCCCTTTTCTTGGCATCCCACAGTCCCATTGTGTTTTGGTCGACAGGCGATAAACAAGTCCGATGTTCAGAGTGAAACTCCATATGTTGTTAAACCCTAATTTGTGGATCGTTCTTTGAGGGGCCCAAACAAATATGTGATTTGTCCTTATTGGATTCCTTGAAAACCAACAAATCAAGGGTATCAACTCCATGGTATATCTATACAAGATGAAATAAGAGATAAAATAGCTATCATAGGTGAACATGTCACAGTAGAAGTACTATATAATAATTGTTCAAGATACTGGTATAATAGGCTACTACTCAGTTGTTCAGTGACCCTGAAAAAAAGAATTGGCACCCTTTTTTGGGACTTGGACCATTTTAGTGGGGCCACCCAAAAAAAAGAGTTGGAAAAATGATTGGTGCCACTGAACAACTGAGATCTTGAAAATCAAAAAAAAAAACAGAAGGCTTTTCAACCCGGAAGCTTGAGAACATGGGAAATCGGCACCTTCACCCGACGCGAATGGGCGAGCTTGAGTTGGCTGATTTTTTTCGGGCAAATTGACCAAGGAAACTCATGGCTTCATCCCCACTAGAAGGAAGGTTGTGCCAAGGCAAATTCAAACAGTATGTTGTGAACTTTGTCATCCAATTGACTCGCCAAAGGGAGCTGTACCACGTACGTTCAGCCAGAAACGTCATGTTTGTAGGGTGTCATTGGCAACGCCTGGTTGTTCATTGCAAATAGCGACATCATACCCAACAAAACCTTCCATTTGGTTAAGACGCCTGGAAAAAAACAGTTGTGATAAATTCCATTTGAAACCAAGAAGGGAAAATATGAAAAAAACAACTAAAACCAACTGTTAATGGAAACCGATGGGTAGTTGGAGTGGATATAGTGGATTCAAAAAATCGAAGTTGCTCCAAGCCCCCCCTGGGCAAAAGGTTGCCAGACCCTCTGTAGATTTAGCAAAAAAAACATTTGTTTCCAAAAAGGCCTCTCCTTTTGGGCGATTTGGTCACACCAACGAGCTGTGAATTGCCATTGTCAGGGGTAGATGTTGTGATTCATGGAAGCCAAATATCTCAGACTCTTCAGGAGTTGACATCATGATGCCTACACCCAACACCATTTTTGTTGCCAGGGTATGATCGGGTATGTCAATCCTTGACTAGAAACGGATCGGAATTCACCCTGGAAAATCCAGTACAGGGTACCGCAAAGAGAAGGCAGTTTTTGTATTAGGAGCTTTCGGTACCCAAAGGAGTGAATAAACGCTTACCCCTTAAAACTCCAAGCCCTGGGGAAGTTAATCTTTTACAGACATATAGCCCATGTTACCCAAAAAGTTGAAAAGTTGTGTTTCTAAGAGGTAAGAACAGGATATATTTACCCTGAAGATCCCCGGTTTATATACCACACAAATACTGGCACAAAAAGAGAAAACACCAGGACACCCACAACAAAAAAGACACAACCAGAAACAAGCGCCAACACGTGGCATGTCTTTTTGGAGCTTTCGGGGGCGTCCCATTTTGGGCCGTTCAGACGGTCTGTGGAGCCTCCCGCGTCACGCGCCCCCGATCTTCGCCGTCTTCTGGCCCAGCGCTTGAATCACCGCGTCATGGGACCCGCCTCGCAGGCTCCGCATCACAAGTAATGCAGGCTCAAAAAATTTCCAGGGCTGGTCTTTGGCTCACTTCCCAAGTTGACTGGCCAAAAAAGTCTGAACTTTCTATTTACCACTAAAATGGTCCAAACCCAAAAAGTTTAAAGTCCACCAACTCAGGAAGTGAGTTGGCTCCATTTAAGTCTTGTTCACATGCTTTTTTGTCCCTTAGCCCAGGCCTGTGGTGCTCCGGTGATCGAGGTCCAGTAGAGAAATTCGAATAAGTTGGTACCCATTTTTTAGTAGCAACCCTCCCCCAACAAAGTGGCAAGAAGGGCACTACTGGGGGCACTATCATGGAGACTCTAGGTAGGCACACCGAGAGCTTCAAAGAATGATTGTCTTTTTGTTTGTGCTGGGTCCTCCAGTAGAGAGGTTAGAATGAGAGTACCAACTTCTTTCTGCAGTCTATTTTAGTAGGGGCAACCCTCCCCAGATTTGGGGGGTGGTTTTTGGCCCCAAAAGTTGTCTGATTCCAACCACATTTCAGCCAGGGAAAGCACCCCCCCTATCAACTGGTTGGTTGACGAATATGGGTGTGGCTCAAAATTTCCCAGCTGGGGCAAATCCCAGGTTTTAGTTTTTGGTTCCATTTGAGATGACAACTTGTTGCACGTGCTTCTTCGACCCACAGCCATATGGTATGAAACCCGGGAAAAGGGTGGTGCCCCTTAACCAGGCCTGTGGTACGGAAAATAGCACACCTAAGGGGAGCGAAACCTTACATGGGCTAAGAAGGACATGATGGAAACCACCAGAGAAACATAGGGGGCCCGGGTCACTTCTTGAGCGGATTGGCCAAACAAAACTTTTGGCCGAGCTTGTTGCCACGCCGTTTCGGATCACACTGCCGTGGATCGAGCAAGCACACAGCAATTTGGCCAGGGGTCAAAATCCAAATCGTACCCCCAGTGAACCTCCCAATCCAACCACTAAACTCTAGGTTCTAAAATGGGTGGTGAATTCACCAATCCCAACCAACATGGGCTCAACCAAAACGGTTTTGACCACCACAGCCATGTCGAGCAACGAGCCAGGCGCCGTTTTTTTTCCCCAGTTGCCCAGTTGCGGACCCACTGGTCAGGTGAACCCTTCAGGTTGGAAGGTCGGCTTTGGACAACTGAGTTCTACCTGGAGTCTCCTTCTGACCCCTGGAAAAAGGGGTCATAACCCCCGAATTGTGGGTAATGACCAACCATTTTTAAAGGGTCAGAAGGAGACTCTAGAACAAACAAAACATGATCCAGTGAATCCCAGCGACTCCTAGTAACCTGTATAGCTAGTAACTGGCCGTTGGCGACTGCTTTTTTGGGGAAGGCTTGGTAACTGGAAGCACTGGGAATGACTTCCACCCCCAAACCACCTTTAAAAGGTTCAATGGGGTCCCAGCATGGCTTCAGTCCTTCTGATCTCCCTTTGACGACACAAAAGGGGTACCCTCACAAAAAGGCAACCCCATAAGGCGACTATATGGCCTTCGCTTCACTGGGTCCAGCCAGCTTCAGTTGTGGCAATTGAAGCGAATCCAGCGAAGGGTTCCACGCAGAATGCGGTACCGCACATTTCCACAACGAATGACTAGTATGAACCCGAACACCGGCGTAAGTGGCAAACTTTGGACCAATTCGTCAAGCAATCACAAACAGAGCACAGAACCAGCCACGAGTGCTCAGTGGTCTTTTTCGGTGAGCAAGCCGCTGGAAATAAAAGGTGATCACCTTTTGGGACCCTTACTAAAAATGGAGCCAACATGGAAAAACCCAAAGGTCAGATCCGGTCGATTCGCTTTGGGCAAGTGAGTAAACGTGGCCTACTTACCCAGCTCGCACGAAGTCCGGGGCCCCAAATTCCATCCCATCTTAGTTTCGGTGAAGTAAGCCTGTCTCCCTTCGAACATGAGGCTTCAAGACATCTTTCTTTGGGGTAAGCAACGACCCCATTTTTTGAGTGGATGGCCCAAAAAAAGTCCAAACTTGATATGTACCACTAAAATGGCCACCAAACCCAAAAAGTTTCCAGTTCATGACCTCAGGAAGTGAGTACCGCGTTCGTCCAGCACTCCAGGTAGCTCCAGAACCGCTCCCTCTTCAAAATTGCAAATTTGGGTACCAGCTCCGGAACGGCTCTCTTCCAACCAGCGGTCATGGAGACGCCAAACATTTGGGTGTGTCTCTATTTCGGATTTCGGGGACCCCCATCGTGACTTTCCTCTTGGCGTCTGTTGAAAATCACCCCAAAAACGGGGGACCAACTCAACTAGGTCCTCCAGTAGAGAGGTTAGAATAAGGGTATATACATGTTTTCTGTAGTCTGTTTTAGTAGGGGAACCCTCCCCCAAAAAAGGTAAAAGGGCACTACTGGGGGACCTAGTTGGGTGTGTCTCTTCTCAGGAGGCCCCCAAAATTATGGTTTTCCTCCTGGTGTCTGTTGAACATCACAAAAACGGGGGTACCCTCCCACCAACTATAGCACAAAAGTGCAAAAAGGCCCACTAACCAAGAGGAAAGTCGTCTTTCTACGGGGCTCTGTGCACAAACCCCATGTTAGCTGGTGGGAGGGTAACTCAGAAAAGGGCCGAGCGAGCCGTCCATTTCGAGGTCCTCGGTCCCGTCCGGGTGTCCCGGGCCCTTGCTCCGCTTCTTCGCCAGGTCTTTGGGCGTCTTCCCCGCCGAGGTCTTCTGCATGGGGTCCGCTCCCTCCTCTGAGCTGTCGCGTAAAAAAACGCGTCGTGCGCTGTCGGGACGCTGTCCGGTGCTCTGTGGCTAGGTCTTCCAGTAGAGAGGTTAGAATAAGGGTACCCTTTTCCATGTGATCTGTTTTAGTAGGGAATCCCCTAGGGCACCTAGCTACCCTTCAAGCCACAAGGGCGTGCGGTGCCAACCTCTTTGGGCAAGGGACATCCATGAGGAAAACCCCAGCATTTTGGAGGGCGTCCCTTAAAAATTTGACACACCAAGGCCCCCTTTTTGGTATGCCCTTGCGGCACAAGGCGGCACCAGGGTTGACAACTTTGTTCTGTGGCTGTTGCCCTCAAGGCAAATGTGAATAACTTTGGGTTGGCCTCTGGAGAAATACACATGATCAACCAAACACTTAAGGACTAAAGATCCGACCAAATAACAGGCATTCCTTTTTGGACAGTGTTCATGTGGAATTGTTTGCTTGCTTTCTGGTTGTCTGGAGGTCTGCTCTCTTCTCAGTTTTCGCTTTGGTTTCTTCTTCCTTCTGGCTTCCGCTTGGATTGCCTTTGGCTTCTTTGGGCAGGCAGCCCTGACCAGACTGGCTTCCTGAGAAGCGTGTTCCCGATGCTGAAAGTACCTGCCGATTCCGAAAAAGTTTGGGAGGGGCACCAAGAACTTAAGAACTAACAAAGAGCCAAGCAGCACGAAGGGGGACGCCCACTTCGGACATTTGGCCCACTCTCCGATCCGATATGTCCCCACCCGAAACCTTTTTGACTCCGAAGACCTGAACAGGCGCAGCAAGCTGCCTTTGGATTTGTTGGGGTATACCCTAACATCAAGCAAACTGGCCCCATATGTCTTACCACTTTGGAAGCCCCTACGTGGTAGCCTCAAACCCACGTTGCCCTGGCAGGGGGTTGCAAAAGGAAATCATCGTCGGGTACCCCGCAGGTGCTATGTTTTGTGGGGGGAAGGGTGGGTTGCAGGGAAACAACCCCCGTTTTCTGACTTTGTTTATCCACCCCCCCCACCCGCCCCCGCCGTGACCAATCCTTTTGTTGTTGTCTGAGTTTCACAGGGTTTTTCTTCGGTTGAATTTTCCAACTACCCAAAGGCTCCTGGGGCTTTGAACGGAAGACCCGACCCCTCCATTAGACACCCGAGGTGGTTGGGGGTCTCAAAATCAGGACGTTTGAAGCCCCTAAATCAATCGGACACCCCCATATCATCAATAAACAGGGGTTGATTCATCCGGGGGCAACAATAGCCAGAATTTGGTTGGGGCAGCCGTCAAACCCATGAGCACGGCCAGAATTTGTTCGCTTCGCTTTCGCCTTCATGAGCATCTCCACCATGTCGGCATCCCCCAGCTCCGCGGCCACGTGGATGGCATAGATGGTCTTGGACATCAACGGCACGCCCAGCATCTTCTCCTCCCAGAGGCTCCAATGACAGAATTCGATTGATTTAGGGCCTTCAAACAACCTGGTTTCGAGACCGGGTCCCAACTACCAATTCCCGGGGTGTCTAATGCTTCGGGGTCGGGTCTTCCATAAGCCGAAGCCGAAGCCAGGAGCCTCTGGGCTGGTCACTGGGGACAGATCTGACCCGATCCGATCCGCAAAAGTGATGTGACGTGTTGCGTCTTGTGCTTTTTGCTATGCGGACTCGCCCAGTACAACCAAGTGCGCGGCATTTTCTTGTTAGGGGGGGGGGGGGATTCAGGCCCCAACGTGTTGCTGGTTGAAAGGGAGAATTAAGGAAAACAGAAAGGGCAAACAGTTTAAGCCGCAAGCTATGTCCGCGAACGTTTCATTACGGGTGAGCGGTGCTTCTCGTCTTGCCCTCGATCGGTGAGCGCGTGAACGGATTTCTCCAAAATCCGTACATGAAAATGGTGTTGACCATCTCACTTCCTGCGTAGATGGTCCTCAAAAGCGGACCAAACTCTTTGGTTGCCACTGAAATGGTCCAAAACATGTCCAAACCCCTAGAACTGACTAAACTCCGAAGTCCGGGGAGAAAAAAAAAGAAAACGCCATTAAACCGGAAAAAAAAAAAAAAAAAAAAAAAAAGAGAGAGAGGCGCCCGTGTCCTGTACCCGCTTGGGCGCTGCGACCTCGGTGAAGCCATTGGCTTGCAAGAACTCCTCCACTCGCGCCTTCCGCTCCTGTGGCTGGTAGGCGGTTGCGCATCACGCGCGGTAGCCGCAGCAAAGCCCGGGATGGGGGAGCGAGCACGGGGTACTGTTGACTTCAGGTCTTTCTTGCTCTTTTTTCTTTCTTTTATGTTTTGGTGTGTGTGTGTGTGTGTTTTTGGTTTAAACATCCTATTGATGGTTGGTGTGCTCCGAAAGGGTCTGAACCCCACTGAACGGGGACATCCCCCTATCACTCAAGGAAGTTACTAATCCGGAGTTCCGACTGGTCTTGTTTCAAGATATACCTTTGAAGAGGCGGGTAGGAATCAGCGGGTTCTGAATCCAAGTCTCCCAGTACCCAACTCCGAAGATTAGCCCAAAGCCAATACTTGGGTGAGTCTAAAATGATATTCAACTGTCGGACCCTGCCCGAACGACCCCAATATGGTCCAACAAGGCATCCCAAGTTTGAACAACTCATTGTGAGCATGCACTAAAAGTTGGTCACTAGTACAATTCCTGGCATACTGCACAATGATCCTCAGTCTTGAGATGACGGTCCGAACGCGCAACTCCAAACACAAGCAACAACACGAATTGTCCTTTGATTCCATGCCTTGTGTTTTTCTGGACTTTGGGTTTACTTCTAATTCCATCACGTACCCACACAGTGATCTCACTTAAACCACGCGGAATTTGTTGGTGGCCAGAACTGAAAATGGGTTTGCCGGTTTGCCTGTTGAGAATTCCAACTGTTTTTGGGATGGGGTCCACTTCCACCTTACCCACTGGTTGTGGCCTGGCCAAAGAGTCGCTGAACCGAATCCAAGGAATCACCGAATCGTCGCCTGCACTTTGGCTTCCTTGTGCAGACGCTCCTGGCAAACCGCAGTCTGAAGCCCCGTTTGCACATGCGCAATTATAAAAAGACCCCTTTGACACTTCCGATCGAGTGGATGGCCCAAAAAGAGATTGAACTTCTTGTTTACCCCAAGAATGGCTCCCAAAACTCAGTTGTTCAGTGACCCTGGAAAAAAAGGGAAGCCTTTTTTGGGAAGACCATTTTAGTGGGGCAGCCGCAAAAGGAAAAGGAAAAGGGAGCCACTGAACAACTGAGACAACCAATGTAATCGTTCCATTCAGAGAACCACTATGACACTTTTTTTCTTTTATCATGGCAGGGTTGCTCACCCAAGCGCGCAAAGGGGAGGACCTGTGAGACTGAATGATCAACGGCCCCGCAATGGAGCACAAGGCGGTTGGGCTTAGGGTCCTGGCGCCTTTCCTGAGTTTCAGAGTTGCAGAGGACCTGCAACTAAAAGGTGATCACCTTTTGGGGCCATGACGAAATATGGGAACCCAAAATGGTCGATTCGCTTTGAACAACTGAGCCTTCCAACTGTTTTGTTTCTTCGGTCGACCGGCTTCAGCCAGGCTTGGGGAAAACTCCATCGGCATTGTGCGGGGCCAACAAGACGCCCTCTAAACCTCCGTGTGCGAGTACGTCCCCAGGACAGATTCATATTTGCAGTGAAGTATTCCCTTCAACATCAACATGGGAAATGACATTAACAACATGCAGGTAAGGCAAGCACTTTTTCAGAATCGAAGTTTCATGTTCCAACTGTCCGTTTTTAACAGGTAATCCAGTAGCCCTCCGCTCGATCCTATGAACCCATGACTTTGCCTTTGGGGGTTAAAAGGGCGCTCCTCTGTCCCCCACATCAAGGGAGTGTCTACATCTGATCAAATGCTTCCCTGCAAAAGCAACACAAGTCAATTACTCCAACAAGGACACAGGAAAAAGGGCAACCTTTTGTTAGTCGTTGTTTTTAAGTCGAATCTAAACAACACTCACAACACTTGTGTGGAGAGGGCAACACAGGTCTGAGTTGTGCTACTTCCCATGAAGCTGGTCCTCGCATCCATTGCGTGCAGAGTTTCCGAACGCAGCTAAATATGGTCTTTCCAAACAAATCGACGGTGCAGTCCACTCAGAACTGGGGAAGTGAGACTCAAGCTTACCCCTTAAAACTCCAAGCCCTGGGGAAGTTAATCTTTTACAGACATATAGCCCATGTTTCCAAAAAAACTTGAAAAGCTGTGTTTTTAAGAGGTAAGTAAGGAAAACAGGGCACCGAGAGAGAGGCACCTCCCATCTCCGCCAGCTTGGACAGCACTTGGGGTGGAAGAAAGAAAGCCGTGGGTGCCCCGAGCTTCTCCAACTGTAAGCGATCTATACTTTGGAGAATACACCCCCGAAAACTCTGCGAGCCCAAACCTTCCAAAGACCCCCGTTTCGCCCCTGGCTTGGGGAAAAATACAAATCCAACTGCCTTACCCCATCCTTAGGTGCTCAGATGCCCAGTGGGGCTTGCCCAAAGGAAAAAAACGGCCACCGCCGGGCAACAGTGGCTGGGTGAAATGGGGCGCGGAGATCGGTGGGGGAAAACTTGGAAGAAATGGGATCCGCCCGGATACTCAGTTCTTCAGTGACCCTGAAAAACAAAAGGATTGGAACCCTTTTTTTGGGGCTTGGACCATTTTACTGGGCAGCCACCAAAAACAACGGGAAAAATAATTGGAGCCACTGAACAACTGAGGATAAAAGGGACCTCCAAAATTACGGGTTTTCCCGGTCGGTTTTCGGTTTCCATTTTAAACCCCTATTGGTTGGGGCGGGATTCCCGAAAAGAAGAAAGACCCAAATGTGAAAACATTTGAAGAAATCACTTAGACTGCCCGACATGCCCGAAACTGCCCAGAAAACCAAAACCCCGAGGAAAAGCCGCAGAATGGATCTCCAGCCACACTCATGTAAGGGACAGTCCCAGCCAGAAAAACAGCTGCGGCCGCCTAGGAAAACTCCTTACATGGTTCTGGGTCAACCATTTCAATACCGGGTTTTGATTGTGACTCATTTGATATTCCTGGACCAAAGGGAGCTTTTCCCTGCGAGTGTCGACAAAGATGTGTGCATTTGCGTGAAATCCATAGACTTGAGTGATAATTCCGGCCATCGCCAGAAGCTCACGCCTCCTCCTCCTGTTGTCGCTGCAACTCCTCCAGTCGCGCCCGCTCCTAGAGAGCGGCACGCGGCTGCGACAGTCGCAGCCCAAATGAAATCTGATTTAATTTGTTTTTAGTTGTTTGTTTTGTTATTTTGTTCTCCGGGGGCTTAAGCAAACGGGAATCCTGGGTCAGAAAAGCCCTTAAAGGTCAAACTCAAGTAGCTGGCCTCTTGAACTTGTTGGTTGAAGATGTGGCATTTTTCACCAACTCACAAGAAGTTCATGTAAGAGAAGATATATCTGGAACGGGGTTGCTCGATACTCAGAGCCCTGTCTAGGGATGGTCACCTGTTGGGTTTGGACCATTTTAGTAGACCTCCACCGCCAGCCTCACTGGACGAAGTCGCATGTGTGCGGCTGGATGCCGAAGGGGAAACCACAGGGTACTCCCTCTTTAGATTCAGGGTGTCCTCCGTTTCCCTTTTTGGAACCTCCAACAGTGGCAGTTTCAACAACACCACCGGTAAATTGCAACTTTTGAAGGGGAAATGCAGTGACCCGTGGAAGTGGCAAAGAAACAGTTTGGACTTTTTTGGGCCTATCCACTAAGGAGGCAAGTTGGGTTTCGCAAATCACCCGGTGTTTGCTGTTTCATGTCGCCTTGAGGCAGTCAAGAGAACCAAGTCTCAGAGGAACATGGCTGCTTACCTCTTGTGGTAACTGCGATCCATGGCAAGGTCCTCCAGTAGAGAGGTTCGAGGTTAGGGTACCACTTGTTTTCGGTGTTGTCTACTTCAGTAGGGGAGCCCTCCCCCAAACAAGGGGAGAGAAGGGCACGAGCCTGGGGGACCTAGATGGCATAAACGACGACATCGTGAAGAGGCCCCATGCTGAAGCTTAAAGACAAGTCAACTCGGCAGCTACTGTGGATGGACGAAATCCTGCACCACCTGGGATAGATGAAGCCCCGTAAATAATGGGATAAACCACCTACCAAGTGATGCAGGATGTTGTCCATCCACAGTATGTACACCAGCCAGCACACGCCATTCGTCTAGTCCGGATTGGAACCGCCCGAAGAAAGCACCGTGCAACTGGTTGAAGAATAACTACCTCCGCTTTTGCTCCTCGAGCAGACCTTGTTGTGTCCTGCCCCAACTAAAATTCACCTGAACTACCCCCTATACCCAAAACCCACTTTTTCTCAGGGTATGCCGTCACCCCTGCCTAAACAAAAAGCTGTGTTTCTTTTAAAGTGAACAACCTGCTTTTAGTTGTTTCAACATATAACATATATACCTCAAACAAGACAGGTATTTGGAGAGAGGGTCGGTTCAGGACCTTCTTGTTTAATTGGTCGTTTGTGCTGAGGCCTGTGGATGGATGAAATCCATGCCGATCGGCACCTGTGGATGCCACACCTTCAACATCCAACTGGTGCAACGGCTTGTCCATGCACAAGATGGGCCTGCTTTGGTACCCGTTTCAGGGTTGGCTTTTTTGGGGGAAACTAAAAGGAACACCGAAGCCGTTTTAGGGAGTCCCCTATGTTAAGACACATTCCTACTGTGGATGGACAACATCCTCCACCACTTTGCAACCGTGCGAAACCATGTTTGTTGGTAGGGAAATCATCATTCCAGAGTTTCTGAACGGTGGTGCGAAATGGATTTCGCAACCATCCACACTATGAAGCCACTAACCCTTGTTCGAATTCCTGGCCTTTGGCCGTTCGAACCCTGTCTAAGCGGTTCCGGTCCCCTCTCGGTCGATCCGGTGCCTGCTGCTCCTCCTTCTCAAGGCCTCAGATTCGGCACGAACACAAATCCCAGCGAGATTCCCCGAAAGTCCAATTTGTTGATTTGCCAGAGGCTCCTGGCTCCTGGACCTTTCAATGGAAGACCCGACCCCGAAGCATTAGACACCCCGGGAATTGGTGGTTGGGACCCGGTCTCAAAACCTGTTCGTTTGAAGGCCCGAAAACAATCGGGAGCCTTTGGACACTAAAATGGTCCAAACCCAAAAAGTAGCTAAACTAGGTTCTCAAGTAGACAGGTTAGAATAAGGGTACCCTGTTTTTCTGTAGGGGAACCCTCCCCAACAAAAAGCGCACTACTAGAGGACAGGAAAGTCCGGGAACTCAGGGAGTGAGGTCAACGCTCAACCTAAATTCACCTAGCATTTACGCATATTCCCTTGGTTCAATTGGTTAAGAGGAAGATCTACATATTGCCAACAGTTGACCCAGGTCTTCTTCTTGAGCTCCGAATCTTGCAGTCTACTGATCCAACGGAGCGACGACCTGAGGACAAATGTACATGGCACTCACAAAAGTTCGAAAACCAGCGGCCTCTTTGAGGTTGGCCGACCACTTTCCTTCACAACACCTTTGCATGACTTTAGAGGGAACTCATCTAGGAGCTCCACGAATAAGGATACCAACTTTTTCTGTAGTCTATTTTAGTAGGGGAACCCTCCCAACCCCAAAAAAATAGGGTTAAGAAGGGCACCTAGCTGGGGACCTAGCCCTTTAGTGTTTTTTGGGGCTGTTCCCGGAGGAGTTGCAACCAGTGAATCGGCCTAAAAGCCTAGGTTGAACCGAACGATTCGCGAGTTCCGAACCGCCAAAAGAAGAAGGACCCACTAAACCAACAAACAACAATACAACGATCAGCTCACCCAACCGTACAACAGGCTAAAAACCTCAGGAACAGACTAAGGATCCACTGAACCAACCCAAAAACAACCCAAAAACCGAACTAAAAACCTAAGGTGACCACTAAACAACCGCCTAAACCGCCAAAAACCGCCCTAAAAACCCAAGTTGACCACTAAACAACCGCCTAAACCGCCAAAAACCGCGCTAAAAAACCCCAAGTTGACCACTAAACAACCACCTAAACCGCCAAAAACCGCCCTAAAAACCCAAGTTAACCCGCCAAAAACCCAAGTTGACCTGGACGCTTCTGGTTCCCAACCACCCCGCCCGTCCGAAACTCCGAGCGGCGCTGCCTCTCCTCCTCGGCCCTCGCCTCCTCCGCCCTGGCCTCCGCCGCCCTCAACAGCTCCCCCTGCCGCAAAATCGGAGAAACCAGATATGTAAAGCCACTGTATATATGGCTGTGGCAACAAAAAAAACGGAATTCCCAAATGGGTTGCCCTGGCAGGTGGAAACATGGACCAAAACCTGCGGCTTGCCCCTCCTGTTGAATTTTGAGCCACACCCATATGTATATGTATATATATATATATATGCAAAAGTTGAGCAATTTACTGGTGGTATCCATGGAAACCGCCACTTTTGGTGGGATTCAAAAAGGGATCGACTAGGCCCTCCAGATTTGAGAGGTTAGATTTTTTGGGTACCCGATTTGTTTCTCGGTTTTGTCTATTTTAGTAGGGGAACCCTCCCCAAAAAAAAGGGGAGAGAAGGGCACGACTGGGGGACCTAGTATATATGTGTGTAACTATGTGTAGGCGTGCATATATTTTTTCTTGTGTAGATGCATATACATATATTTAGATATATTTCATATGCAGACAACACACGCACACACAAACGCACGATCACATATTACATCTACGCATCAATGTGCATGAACAAAGGGTATGCACATATTCTAGGCGTGTATCAAATTCATGGCGGTTTGGGGTCCAAACTCGTTGGGCGAGTTTGCAATGAAAACAGGCCTTCACTTGTACTCATACCCCTTACACCTAATACCCGCTTTTTTGGGGGTATGATGTCGACCCTCTACTAAAAAAGGAGGCATTCACCTTGAAAAACCCGGTCTTCCCAAAAATACCCTAGAACAAGTGGGTATTTGGAGTAGGGGGTAAACAAAAGGTCCACCTTTGGAAGTGGCGTGGCTCAACCACAACGGCGCTGGCCCTCGGCATCGGCGCCAGCGACCCCGAAGAAAGGCGGCGTGACCCGTCCGTCTAAACGACGTGGGTGTTGGGTGTAGGGGCCTTTCTAAGGGTACAGGGGGTCGGCTACCGAGACCAGGTGATGGGGAAGAAAAACGGCGAGCTTTTTTTGTTTGGCAGTTGGCTTTGCCTGCTAAATAAGGAAAAGCGGACACTGGGAGTCTGGGCTCGTGCTTGGGTGACACAGAACCTGAAAAACCATGTTTAGAGGAAGTTCCCTGTGGGGAAGCCCATTTTTTGCTGGGGTTTAATGCTGATTTGTAGGGGAGTCTGTCAAAAGCCAATTCTTATGGTGGGGTTCAATGCTGATTTGCCGGGGAGTCGGCTCACCATTCGGCATTCGGCCAAGCCACATTCGCCGATGCGGAGCTCTTGCGCTCCTTGCCTCGGCTCTTCCGCCCTTCCGCATGCCCCCGTGGGGCGGCTCGCACGGGCGCGGAGAAACGGCTTTCCGCGGCTCGGTGCTCGGGATGCTCGGTTCCCCAAGCTAAGCAAGTCTAGGTCCTCCAGTAGCGACGTGAGGGTACCAATTTTTGTTTCCGGTTCTTGTCCATTTTAGTAGGGGAACCCTGCCCCCCAAAAAGGGGTAGAGAAGGGCACCAATTGCTGGGGGACCTGGAAGGGGTGATCGCCGCCTGGGGCAGGGCCTAGTGAGTTGAGCCGGCAAGTAGGTTATACCCCAGGCCAACCACTTACTCACCCCGCAAAGCCAAGCACCCAAGCTTCGTGGGGTTGGTTTTCGGGAGTAGTGGGGGACCTAGGTAGTGTACCCCTTTTTCTCCGCCAAAAAAAGGAGCCGGTCAAACGAGTGAGTCGGGGTTGGACACATTGAGCTCTGCAGAAAGTGCAAAAACAAGTCTGACAACCTCCATTTGAGTCATAATCAAAACCCGGTATCAAAATGGTCTACCCAGAACCATGTAAAGACTTAAGAAGGCGGCCGCAACTATTTATGGCTGGGATTGTCCCCAACGTTCATTTACCCGGGTTTTGATTGTGGCTCATTTGCCCAGTAATGATAGATTCCCTTCAAAACCACCAGGGAACGTAAGAATATGGTTAACCAAATGGAACACAGTCTGACATTCGGCATACAAATGAAAAGAAAAATCTAACATTTGCCACACACGCACACAGTGACACAAGTCCAACAAATACTTTACAAGCTCAGCATAAAGTCCTGAGCAGGAACCGTCATCATTGAGCAGCAAGGTCCTATGCCCCAAACCCAAACCTATTGCTGGTTGGCGAATGAAGGAATACCACAAAGGCAAGGAGTCACAAAGACAAGCTAGCAAGTATCTCACAACCGGAGAGTTTCTCGGAATAAGCCTGTTTTGAGTAACCCAATGAGGGAGTGCATGCTGCGGAATGGATACTTGGGATACCCAGTGGCTGGCTAAATTTGTTACCAAAATGCAGGTTATGTATGCTTTGGGCATGTCCGACTGGGAACGGACAAGATATGTTACGTTCCTAACAAAGTGATAGAACATATTCTGAGGGCGGGGGGCTTTTTCAACAGATGGTGGAAAAGCCAGTTCTGGTCGGTGAGGAAACCACAAGGACGCCGCTGCCATTTTAGGAAATAGATTAATAGATCAATTCCCACACTCTAAGAATTCCACTACCCGCAAACCACTACCCCCAAACAAAACATGAATTATACAACCTCAAGCACTATATATTAATGATAGACAATTTTACAACCACTATTTTTCTCAGACCAAGGCGTATAAATGTGTGTATATATATATATAGATATATCTTGACTTCGATTGAAACAAACTTCCATTTGCTTGAGCCCCCGGGAAAAATACAATAATTCCAGTACTGATTGAGTCCCTTGAAACACCAACAAGGGAAAATCCAAATATTCTTAAGCAAATGGAGGTAAAAGGTAGTTTCGCTTTGGGGGGCGGATTCGGTTCCATCTCTTGACGAGCGTCGCTGGCGCCAGAGCTCCACCAGCTGATCCGCCTCCTCCTATCCGCCGGTCGGGCTGTCCCATTTTCAGATCCCCGCTGAAAGTGACCGACTGTTGGTGGGCCGAGTGGAAACCCAACCACTAAACCCTAAAAAGCCATTCAGCTAAGGGGGTGGCTGAGAGCCGGCAAATATGTATATATATATATACATATGTGCTAGGAACCATGTATACATGTATGTATGTATATATATATATATACACAGGAAACTGTCTATATACACTCACCAAGCCCGTCGAGTGGACGGCCCCCGAAACAGTTCAACCAAACTTTATGGCTGGTAATGCCAGGAGATAGCAACAAATCCTAAGCCACTATAGTATTTGGATTTAGTGCTTAAATGGGTATTCTATTAAAATTAAGCCACCAGGATATGAACCGCAGGATGTTTAGTTCTCGTTTCCATTTGCCAGGGCAACCCATTTTGGGGTTACCCCACTTAAGACCCACACCAATACATGTATACATACATATATATATATATAGACATACTAACCAAACCCATGGACTCGATGGCCCCAAAAAAGATCAGCCAAACTTCTTGTTTGCCACTCCAATGGTCGCCCAAGCAAGTTTAATGTCCAAGAATTCAGGAAGTGAGTATGTATGTATAGATATACACATATATATATGTGTTCCTATATGCTAGGAACCGGACAGTGCAAAGCTTTGTTGCTTTAGTTGAAGTGCATAGTAGATGATACCGGCTCCTACCATACTTTTATGCCTATATACATATAGACATATTGTGTGTGAAACCCCCCCACCCCGCCCACCTTTTCTAGTGCAGTGATGCGTCTGCTGCTGTAATTATACATGCACTATGCAATGCCGTATTGCGTGTGCACACACATATATATATATATATATTATGTGTGTGTGTAAAGGGTAATGTTGAGCCCATATTGTTAATCCCCCCCTATTAATCCGGTCCGGGTGACCCCCCCCCAATACTAAACAATTCATGACTTAGAAAATACACCCCAAATAAAAAATGAATCAAACAACACAATTAAATCGGTCCCTCCCCCAGATGGCTCCTGCTGTCTCATTTTCTCCACTGCTTCTTGAGCTCATTTCTTAGAAGTTGCTGAAAATGTCATCCATATTGAAAACTCACATTCTTGCAATTCATAGCATGTACTCTGCACATGTGCTTCTTCCTAATCTCTTACCTTGCCTCCTCATCCAATAGCCCGTGCACTTCTCAATGCTGCATGATAAGCAGCCTGATTGGAACCTGCATCTACTGCACACTCCCACCTCATACTGCTTGAGTTTCGCAATGGCCTTATGATACTCTGCAGGCAAATCTGAAATCTGCAGCTTGGAATTCTCATTCACAATGGCCATGGCCTCAATCTGCAATGAAGTCAATGCCTCACCCTTCTTCGTTTTTTTGCATGCCAGATCATAAGTCTTCTTTCTTTCCTGCATGACCTTCTGGATACTTCTCCAATAGAACAATGCCATTGGCAACATCGTTCTTCTTCATGTCCGTCTCCTTCTGCAGCTGGGGCATGAATTTCTGCATCCTGGCACGCCAAGCTTGCATGGCCTCTTCAGGCCACCCAATGGCAGCAGGGCCATGTCCAGTCAACATGTCCAGTCAAATGGAAACTCAATTCCAGATCTCAAAAGGAAGCTCCAGCAATACTGAATCAAATGGAAACTCAATTCCAGATCTCAAAAGGAAGCTCCAGCAATACTTCATCAAATGGAAACTAAATTCCAGATCTCAAAAGGAAGCTGCAGCAATACTAAATCAAATGGAAACTGAATTCCTGATTATTTAGGGGGGGAGGCAAAAGACCTTCCAAAATCTTGCCCCTCCAAAACCTTCTGACCTTCAAGGGGGGGGTTACATACTAATACGGGGTCAACATTATATATATATAATATACGCATATATATACACATATATATTATATATATATATATATTAATACCCTGATTTGGAGGCGGAAGCCACCCATTCAGCACCAACGTCTCCGAGACTCCGAGACTCCGAGACGCACAGAGCTTCGTTCCTTGGTGGGGGCTCCGACCACCAAGCGGTCCCCTTGCCGATGCTCCACGAATCGTCCGAAGCCTTGGATCCGCGAATCGGGGATCGGACTCTGCGGGGGGGCGTGGGGGGGGGGGGGGAATTCCTGTCCAAAAAATATGGAAACCATTTTAACGGATCCCTTTGAAACTCACTTGCCCTGTTCAGACTGGAAATACAAGGTGATCACTTTGCGGCCCATGACTTTTCAAGGCTCCCTTTTGAATCATTGAACTTACTTGCTCCTTAGGGACCTGAAAAGACAAGGTGCTCACTTTGGGTCCAAACAATGTGGAACCCATTTTGAAGGCTCCCTTTTGAATCATTGAACTCACATTCTCATTAGGGACCTGGAAATACAAGGTGATCACCTTTTTGCTTGGGCCATGACACTAAAAATGGTGGGGGGAACACCAAAGGGTCCTTTCAGGTCGATTTGCTTTGGGCAACTGAGTAAAACAAAAAATTGTCCAAACCAGGACCCCGAAACCTCAGGCTCCATATGGCTGTGGCTCAAAAAACCGATACCAAAATGGAACCCTGGTAAGTGGAAACATGGACCAAAACCTGCCGTTGGCCCCTGCTTTTTAATTTTGAGCCATACCCAAATCGATTGCTTTTCTGGCTAGCGGTGCTTCTCTAATTCGTGGACCTTTTGCTTGGCAAAGGGCCCCCAGCGCAACCCATGGGGCCCGATCCGGAGATCCCTACAGAACACCCCAAAAGATCCCCTGTGGATGGTTGCGAAATCCATCCACCGCACCACCGTTCAGACACCCTGGTTTCTGATGGTTTCCCCAACGTAAATACCAACAAACGTTATGGTTTCAACCATGGGTTTTACAGTGGTGCAAAAAGGATTTCGCAACCATCCACAGTATGACCTTTGGCCTGAAGGATGAACAAAAGAGATTGCTAACTGGCTTCAAAAACATCTATCCCAAGAAACAAATCCCCAGTCATCTAAGACCCATAAAGAAGGAAGGGCACGCTGTCTGAATCTGACGCGAACATGAGCTTTTGAGAGAAACAGGGGGGGCAAGCTTCAAGATCAAAAGGTACATAATTACCAGGTATCAGGACCTAGCAAGGTCCCCGATTTTAAGACACAACCACTGGCTCTCAGACTTGAAAAAGCCCCGAGTGGAAAACAAGAATTCCTCAACGAGAGTCTGATGTTCCTTTTGGTCTCTCTTTCAACCAAGGTACCAAGGGTACCCTTACAGAAAGGAACAAACCACACCTACCATAAGGCAACCCATACTTAAAACGGGTACCCCAATTTGAAATGAAAAACGGCACCCTGGGCAACAACCTGACCACACACACACACACACTAAGACAACCTACCTGGAGTCTCCATGACCCCTAGAAAAAGCGGTCAGAACCCCTCAATGTTGGGCAATGAACCAATTTTCAAAGGGTCATGGAGACTCTAGGTACCCCAAAACCGACCTTGAAAAGGGCACCCTCAGCAAAATCCAGCACCCACCCACGCGATGCAGCAGCAGCCAAGCGACCGGCATCCCAGCGCTCGATCAACTGCCGGTGAAGGGTGGGCCGACAAGTGGGCACTGTTTGTGTCTTTCTGTTGAGGCAGGGTACACCAGTACAATATGTATGTATTTGTACATGTGCATGTGTATAAAATTGCATAGACAGACATGTATATATATATATATGTATGTATGTATATATATATATATATACACACATGTATGCATGGGAGTGTCGTGTTTTCGTGAAAACCCCTTTTGGGGTTGGCTTAAAGGGACACAAACAAGTCACACAAATCACCTGTTTGAGGGTAGAAGGGTACCACCGCCATGTTGGTGGTTCTAGACAAGAATGGGTGCCAGTGGACGGCAATGCCATGTGGCTGTGGCTCAAAAAACCGGTTCCACAATGGAACCCTGGTAAGTGGAAACATGGACCAAAACCTGCGTAACCCCTTGTGTTTTATTTTGAGTCACATGTTTCCACTTGCACCACTTTGAGGCCATTGGTCGAAAACCATACCGTTCGTTGGTATTTGTAGAAAATCGAATCCGGAAAAAAAAGGAAGACCAAAAAGAAGAAGATGGGTTTCTGAGAAAGAAATGGACAAGGTTTGTCCATCCACGGTATCACTGTAAGCAAACTCGTGAAGGGCCAAACTTGGGGGTTGCCTTGCTCTGGGAGGTTCATGAAGTGTATCCCTTCATCCGATGTTTACCTCAGTTGCCCAAAGGACCTGCAACTAAAAGGAGAACCTTTTGGGGCCATGACGGAATATGGATCAAAATTGGAAACCAAAAGGTCAAAAGGTCGGCTTTAAACAACTGAGTTACAGCTACCAAAAAGGGGGAAATCGAGGGAATCACCCGGCGGCTCGCCTCGCTGGTACATTACTTCCATTTGCCCAGAAACAGGAGCCTCCTGAAATCGTTGGTATTCTTTGCTCCAGCAAAAGACACGTGCCTAGGCAGTTAGCCGTTGCTAGCCATCCATTTTTCCTGCAAGGGGGGGGTGAGTCCTCAACATATGGGTAATTCTAGGCCGCAAGATCACCGTGTCCATGTTCACTAAGAAACATGTTTATGTTTGCGTTTTGGCTATAGCCACGTTCAAAATCGTAGGTGTGGGGTATCCCTTGCTTGGTTGCTTTTAGAGCGAAGTCAACTGGAAACCAACCATGTTTGAGGCTTCTCCCGAAAAAAAAAAATAAAATAAAAAAGACACAGCCATCTGAGCCACGGTCAAGATCATTTACATGGGCGAATGTTTTTTTGAGGCCCCAGAGTTCGGTTCCCGAACCTCTCTCTCTCTAGCAGCCTGAGTGTTTTGGATGGGACCTGGAAAAAGGGTGATGTCAATCCAATGGTCGATCCGCTTTGGAGACCTGAGGCTCAAATTTCCAAAAAAAAAAACTCTAAACTTCGTGGCCCGAGTTGCGGTAAGGTTCCGTGTTTGAAGCCCAGGACATCTTAGCAACTGAATATATGTGGGGGGTAGTCTTAAAAGGGAAACCAAAGGGAAACCAAAGAGAAACCAAAGGGAAACCAAAGGGAAACCAAAGGGAACCAAGAAACTAAAGGGATCTTGCAAGATCAGACAATCTCCCCTTCTGAGAACACGGCCATATCTCATGAAACTGGTGGCTCACTCCGGAACACATAGCCCCTAAATGGTGGTTGTTTGGGGAAGCCACCGTTGAAGGCACCTAAAGGTATTTTTGAGGAGGGTTCGCAAGGTGTTTTGGGGGAACAACCCACCATGTCCGCACTGGCAGCTCTGAGAGGCTCCCTGGTTATAGAAGATGTTACAAGCAAATGTTTGGATAGCTCCGGAACGGCTCCCTTCCCGCCAGCTAGATTAGGTCATCGAGGGGAACAAGCCCGACAAAGGCCCACCCAAAGAAACCGCTAAATCTGGACCTAGGGACTAGAACCGGCTTCTCCCGCCTCCCAGACAAATGGCTATGGGTCAAGAATGCGTACCCAACATGGGGATCCTGGTAAACGGAACCAAAGACTAAAACCTGCGGCCATACCCAAATTCCTAGGGTCTTAAGGGGCTAGAACCAGGCAGGCCCCGCCGCGGGCCCCGCCTCCTCATCGAGGTCTGCGGCACGGATGCGCACGGTGTCCGTGTCTTTGTTCGAGGGCACGCAAGCGCGGCAGCTGAACATGGCGATCCTGGCAACTCCTGGAAGCGGGTGAGGAATAAAATCGCCAAAACATGATTTGGGTGAGGAAGGGTGGAGGGAAGGGATAAGGCGAGGGTAGGATGACATGATGAGGGAGAGGGTAGGCTCTGGTTGACAAAAACGTGGACCGGTAAACAGGGCCCCCTATATTTTCCCTTAAAGCATCACCCCACCAAGGGGCACTCAATGGCACTCACCTTGCATCCTTAAAACCACCAAAAAGGGAAATCGGGACTTCCACAACAAGGGCTCTCAGACAAAAACTTTGCTGGTGCCCAGCAGGGAGTGAGGGAATGAACCTGGGAATTCCCTTTAAAAAACCATAGGAGATGGTTTACAGGGGTCATTCCCTCATTCCCTGCTGAGCACCAGCAAGAAAAACTGGGCTGTTGAACGTGGAGGAGTGGCCAGCAACCATACTTAGCAGGTCATCCTGCCCGCTGCAGTCTCACCAAACCTGAGTGGATTGGCCCAAAAAAGCTCCCAAACTTCTTTCTCTGCCACCAAAATGGTCCAGGAACTCAGGGATCGAGTTTTTTGTGGCTCAGTCCACTCAGGGGGTTCCTGGACTTCTTTACCAGGAACTCAGTCCAAACCCAAAAAGTGACTATAGTCCAAAACGGAACCAGGGTTTCATTTCCGTGGTGCGGTGCCGGATTTCGCGTCACCATCCACAGTGGCCAGTTGGGAAGGTGACAGTGACCGCCACAGAAGCACCGCTTGCTGCTCCTGGATGAAGAAGCGACAGGGTGCAGAGCTGAGCCAGAGACAGCGATGCCCGAGTCATGACCCTGGCAACTCAACGCCCTCCGGGAAGATG